AAAGTAATTATAAAAGCTTAAGATAAACACTAAACTAGAAAAAGGATAATATTACAAGATAATAATCAATTTATCTATATAAGTTTAGACCTCATCAAAAAACAAAATGATTTGTATACAAATTTGTATAATAATCGTCTTATATAGTCTCTTTATTTTTAATAAGCTTGGATATATAATCTGATCTTAAAGATTACATAATAAACCCTATATATACAAGAATACAAATCGTAGATCTATATGAATCGTAGATCTATACAAATTGTAGATCTATACAAATTATAAATCCATATAAATCTACAAAATACAAAGATTTATATAAACTAAAAGGGTTTCCTATATATAAAAGCTTCATACTCAAGATTAATCATTTAATATAATCTATTATTAATTACAAATTACAATTATTAATATTACTTTAAAACTTTTACTTGATATCTAGTTATAAACCATTCGAGGATCCAGACCACTTCCACATGACCTAGATCGCATCCTTCGTAACACTAGTATGACTAGTATTCCTGTAATATTAGTTTTGTTAACTGATTAACAGAACTAATATATTATATGATAATCCTAAGGTCTTTTATATTCCAAAGCCTTTTCTTTCTTGAAATACTTATTCTAAGAGTTTTCCTTTTAGGAATTATAATTTTAAGATATAATATTCTTTAAAATGATAATCTTATTATAATCAATTAGATAAAATATTTATTTTATTCTACTATAATTGTTTAGGATATTTATTTTAAGAATCCTAAAATCCTAGACTTAAATAATCAGGACTCTTGAAAACAATAATTAAATCACATCTCTTTTATAATCGATATATAAATCATCAATATCAATAATATTATTATAATAAAAACCATGAATCATGATATATAAATACAAACTAATTATATATTAGAAATCAAGAATTATAAAAATAGAAAACCAATCGATAATAATACAAATAAAAAGATTCAAGAAAGTTTATAAAGAAATAATAATAGAATTGAAATTTATTATCGAAAGAAATATATACTATTATAATCAGAAATATAATCAGAAATCAATATTAAAAGAAAAGAATAAAATCTATTTATTTCGAAAAAATATCGAAATAAAAAAGTCTAATACAAAATTGAATTACAAGAAACTTAGATTATTCAAAATTAAGAAAATTAAAGAATTTTTGAATTATAAATTGATATTATTGAAAAATATAAATATATATTTAATATTTTATATATCTTTATTCGAATTAGTATCCTCAAAAGTATCAAAAGTTTCTAAAACAGAAATCATATCTATAAATCAAGATATTGAATATAAAATAAAAAAAATACTAGATTATAAATATATTAGAAATAAAATCAAATATTCAATAAAATAAAAAGATTACTTTGATTTTGAATGTTACAAGGTAACAGTCAACCTGTCCACATGAGTTTAGGCCTCATCAAAAAACAAGGCGATTCATATACAAATTTGTATAGTAATCGCCTTATATAATCTCCCCACCCTTAACAAACTCGGATATATAATCTGATCTTAAAGGTTATATAATAGATCCTACATATACAAGGATACAAATCGTAGATCTATACAAATTGTAGATCTATACAAATTATAGATCTATACTGTAAAAGTGGTAGGTCGAGATACGTGTGTCCCGATAGCACGCTGTGAGGAGGGAATTGGAAGAGAAAGCTGAATTAGATTACATTGTAATACGTCACTTATGAGTAAAACGGGGTTCACAATGGTTTTGGGGTTGATGTTATATGGGTTCAAATGTATATATGTAGAAGGTTGATTATTGTGAAAAGAAGAGGCAAAAGGCTCTTCTTTTATATCTAACTACAAAAGGTCATGTGATTGACTAGCTAAAACCTTTATGTATTTGGCCTATAATTCCAACTTTCTCACAATACGAATTGTAGATCTATACAAATCTACAGAATACAAAGATCTATATAAACCAAAAGGGTTTTCTATATATAGAAACTTTATATTCAAAATTAATTATTTAGTATAACCTATTATTAATTACAAATTACAATTATTGATATTATTTTAAAGCTCCTGCTTGACATCTAGTTATAAACCATTCGAGGATCCAGATCACTTTTATATGACCTAGATCGCATCCTTTGTAACACTGAAAATATATAAGAATTTGAAAAAAAGATTAAATATCTAAAAAAGTTCTAGAAATTTCGTTAATAAAATCTGGATTTATTTAAAAAGAAAATGAATTTATCATTTTCTACAAAAAAGAATTAAAAAAATCAAAATCGTTTATAGAAATTTCGTTAGAATTGATAAAGTTAATTAATAATTAATCAAATCGACCAAATTGATCAAATTGATCAAAAGGGTCGAAAGGAGTAACAAATATAAAGAATATAATAATTTCTTAATCTTTTTCTTTTTTTTCCTTTTCTTTTAAAGTATCAAACTTATTTATAAAATTCAATTCAATTATAATCATTTTTTGTTTTTGTTTACAAAAAAACTTCTATTATTTATTAAAATAAAATATTTTTGATATTGTTTTATTCTTTTTAATATCTATACATTCGATCTAAATATTGATAATTTTTTAATCAAAGACAAAAAACATTTTATTTAATTTATAAATATTATACAATTTATTGAAAATAATATAACAATTATAACAACAATACTTAATATCATAAAAAGAAATATATTTAATATTGATATTTTCATATTGAATATAAAGAATCATCTTTTTTTTAATTAAATTAATTTCTTATCTAAAAGTTTTATAATCAATATAAAGTTAAAAATGAATAAATAATATAATAAAGAAAAAATATGTAAAATAAATTATATAAGGAATAATGTTTCTTTTTAAATTTTATAAACAATTGAAAACAATATTTAATCAAAATAAAAATAGTATTACAATTTATAGTTTTGATTATAATAATATTATTAATATTGATAATTTATATATCAATTATAAAAAGAATATAATTTAATTATTGCTTTCGAAAATCATAATTATCTAAATTTAAAATCCTTAGATTCCTAGAATAAATATTCTAAACAATCCTTATAAAATAAAATAAGTATTTTATCTAATTGATTATAATAAAACTATTATTTTAAAAGATATCATATTTTAAAATTATAATTCCTAAAAAGAAAGCTTTTGAAATAAGTGTTCTAGAAAAAGAAAGATTTTAGAATATAAAAGTGTTACGATTTACGATTAAGATAAGGATATGTTGAGGGGCAGTAGTCAACGTGTCCATACGAGCTTAGGCCTTATCGAAAAGCAAGGCGATTCGTATACAAATTTGTATGGTAATCGCCTCATGTGGTCTCCCCACCTTTAGCAAGCTCGGACATATAGTCTGATCCTAATCACGTGATAAGGAGCCCTGGGAGCTTCGAAAGCTCCTAGAGCTCCAGGAGCTTTTTGGAGCTCTAAAGCTCCACAAAGCTCCTTTACATTCATTAGTATATAGTCAGAATAGTTTCATAGTTTAAGAGCTTCGTGCTCAACTTAGTTATCAATTAGTTTACCTACATTCCAATTGATCTAGTAACGTATTCACCTTTGAGTGGATAACCAGTGATTATTAGCCTTAACCTACAACTACCAACCATACGAAAACCTGAGGCAGCCGCTGCCTCGACCAGATCGTTACAAAAAGATCTCAAGATCAATTATATAATATACTAACTCTACTAGCCAGCTAACAAAGCTAATATCACAAAAATACCAACTATACTAATCAATTAATATAACTAATATACAAAAAAGAGATTAATATATAATCAAAATAATTTCATAATTTAGAAACTTTATACTCAACTTAATTATCAATTAGTTTACCTATATTCCGATTGATCTAGTAACATATTCACTTTCGAATGAATAACTAATGATTATTAATCTTAACCTATAATTACCAACCATACAAAACCTGAGGCAGCCGCTGCCTTAACCAGATCGTTATACTAGGAATCCTAGAATTAATATTCTAGGTAATTATAATATAATAGGATAAGTATTCTAACTTTATGAAATAAATTAGGATAAAGATTATTCTAAGATATTCATCCTAGAACAATTTCCCTAGGATATCAATTATCCTAGAATGATTATAATAGAAAAGGATTGCTAGGATTAACCTATCAGAATAGAAATCATATAATGGAGCCTTTAAGAATATAAGCTCCTTTAGGCTTTTTAGAACCCTCAGGAGTATAGGCTCTTTAAGGCTCCTAGAAGAATCTAGTATATAGTCAAAATAAGGTTTATAATTTAGAAGCTTCGTATTCAACTTAGTTATTAATTAGTTTATCTATATTCCAATTGATCTAATAACGAATTCACTTTCAAATAGATAACTAATGATTAATAGTCTTAACCTACAACTATTAATCATACAAAACCTCAGGCAGCCGCTGCCTCGACCAGATCGTTACAACAGTATGTAGCCGGATGTTATTAAGATTAACATTGACGAAGTCTCAACTATAACTTGGAGCCGGTTCCAATACTTCATTTAATAATAGAATCAGTTTCAGATCAAAGTTGTCTTCCTTCTTAAGGAAAAATTAACAAGAACTAACTTACTTTATCATATATGTTTGTTTCTGGGGGCTTTAAGGAGCTTGAGGGAGTTTATGTTTTTGAAGGCTTTATTATATGATCGATCCTCTATTTCAGAATATTAATCCTAGCAATCCTTTCCTAGGGCAATTGTCTCAGGATAATTCATTTTTTCGGATAGTTGATATCTTAATACAATTGTCTTAGGATGGTTATCCTAAGATAATTATCCTCCTAACTTACTTTGATTAATCAAGATATTTGTTTTGTTCTATTATGATATCTAGAACACTTGTCCTAATACCTTTAGGTTCCTAATCGTAGGCGATAAGGAACACCGCCCCCCGGTAGTCGGCGGCCGAATCGCCGATCCTCACCATACCACAATAATCCGAATGATGGTGATTTGAGCACGACCACACCAAAACAGGTAAAGCCCCTCCATAGCATACATAGCCTTGTTCAAGACCCCTGAATCTTGAGGGAGCCTATGATAATTCAAGACAAACAGCTCAACGTGAATCTCTTCTACGGAGCAGAGCAGAGGTACCCAATGTTGCAAAAGTAAAGACAATCAAATCAATTAGTCCAGTTCATATGAAAGAAAGCATCTGTTATTACGCTTATTTCATATTCACCGATCAAAAGTTACGCGTAATTAAGCTAAGGTTACCTCTCGCAATAGAAGTTGCGAGTTGATAAATATAACCTTAACATCCATCCTCCCTCCTTCTTTGCTTTTCCTCTCCCACAAGACCTCCCCTCCTCACATTCACAACACCAACGATCCTTTACTGTCGTGCACCCTTGAGACATTCTCATTTGTCACAAGCATCCACGACCTCTTCGCATCAATCTGCATCCTTTGTGCATTTCATCATAAGTCGTCGCAATTTCAAAGATGTCGCTGCAGTCTGCTTATAAGCAGTTTTTAGCTGCCCCAAACCCCTCTTTACTCGCAAGTGATGCTTCTCTTCACTTCATTACGACTCTCATTTCTATTAATGGATCGTCCAATATCGTCAAGCATTTAAATGGAGAGGACCATCGACTTAAAAAGAAGGAAGAGACCTTTTTAAACATTGTCGAAGGCACCAGCTCCATTGCTGCTGAAGTTCACACAACCGTTGAGTTCAAAACATCAGGAGGATCCTACCTACCTGGCTTGGATGATAACTTTCTCGCTGATCGTACAGTCACCTTTCCTATAGTAAGTTTGATATCATATGTTTTACGGCATTCGTATGCTAATAATGGCAGATTCACATCGTCAGTTTCGATGCCAACGGCAAGATCCAACAAATCCGACAAAATTGGGACCAAGGTTCACTTCTCAAATTGATCGAAGTCATCGGAAGGAGTGGGCGAAATTGGCCAATTCGGGATGGAAAAGATCAGATAAAGCTCATCACATCAAGTGTTAGAAGTTCTGGCACATCAGATGCTGCTTCAAACGCAGACCCTATCGCCCGTGCCAGAGCCAACTCTAATACTGCGACGCGCGATCCGCATGCAAGCCTTGCCTTATTTGCTCCCCGAGAAGACGTTGTGCGAGAGTCCCGTCCGGCTGCTGAACCAAGCAGCAAATCAGCAAAGCCAGAACCTCGGGATTATCACGATCTTTTCGTTGGTAAAGACTCCGCATCTCCAGAAGATGACACCTCTCCACCCAAAGCTGGTTCCAAAGCAGGCGCTTCAAGGCAATTTGCTCCATCTAGACTTTTCGATGCCTACGAGGAACAAGCTACACCAGATAGCCATGTCCAAGAGAAGTCCAAGGATCCAATGTACCGCCCTAACCCATCTAGATATGAACATTTCGATTTCACAGATGCCCCCGAGGAAGAGGAACCCATTCGACCGACAAGTGGCAAAGGTAGCATGGGTCAACACCAAAGCCAATGGGGATTTGATGACTTTCAAACACCACAAAAAGTTGTTCCCACCAAAGTTCTTCGCGCGGCTGACGTTCGTCATTGGGGCAATAGTGATGATGAAGTTTTGGATAGTCCAGTCAGATTCAAGAAGACCGAAAAGCCTCGCAAGGATGCACAAACCCATTTCGATTTCCGGGATGAAGGCACCCCACAACAAGAACGTCGCATTATTGGAAGACCTCATGGACAAGGACACAACAATGGACTTGGGCTCTACAAAGATACAATGTTCGATGAGGGTGAAAGTGAAACACCGGTTTCAAAGAAGCAAGGCCGACCTTTCGCAAATGTCACGGACAGACAAAAGAACTTAGATTCGCATTTCACCATGACTGATGACTCGCCAGTTGCCGGAAAAGCTCCAGCTCATATCGCAGAAGATAGAGCCAAGGCTGTGAAGAATATGGGTGCTAACTGGGACACATACGATCAATCTCCTATTGAGAAGAATTCCCGTAAAGAGAACGACCCTTCCTCACCAATTAGATCCAATTCTAACAAGGAGCCTTTGTCAGAAATTCGCACTGCTTCACAACGCAACCAGAAAAATACCGGTATCAAGACAATGGGTGATGGTATGGGTGGTAGCAAGGGTGCAGGCAGAAGCTGGGGATTTGGAGACGGATCTGATGGAGAGGAAGCTGGTGGTATCAATGGTGTAGGAAGTACATTTCGCAATGGTCGCCCCGGTAAAGCACAAAATCAAAAAGCTACTGGTGGTGATTTCTGGGATTTCTAATCCATGGATATCGAAACAGGATTGAGCTGTTGGCTGTCTGGTTAAATATGTGTTACGATAGATGAGATTATGATCATACAAAATTGCTTTCGATTTCAGTTACTTTTTTAGTGTGGTTGAATTGGTGTTGATAAGATATTTCGATGGATGTATAAGGAGTAACTACGTGCTCACTTGACTTCCAGTTCCTTTATTTGCATTTTTTGAGTGTGTTATTTTTAATCTGAGCAAGGTGGTTCGGTTTCTCTATCCGTGGTGGTATTTCTTGCAACTGCGTGCATGACAGGATACGAGGAGTAGAGGGAGGAGATACAAGAACATATCAGCTGCGAACAAACCAAGAGGGATACATGGCGTGTATTGGTTATTAGGTATTATTATGCATTATTTCGACTTTACTGTTAGGGAAATAGGTATCAAATATCAAATTTCAAATAGGTATGCAATGAATGAATGAATGAATGAATGAATGAGACTTGATATTCATTTCGAACAGTAAGGTTCATCATAATTACAAACCATTCGAAGCGTAACTGAACGAGATTGCTTTCTTTATAAAATGAATACCTACCTACTCGTAGTGTTAGTTTGGATTTATTTATTTATTTATTGTGATTATAGAAAGGATATAAGACTGACTACTCGATAGGTCTAGTATATAATCTCTTTTTGAATAATTTTTTACATCAAGAATTATTATTTTCAAAATTTGAAATATAGGTTTTATTATTATTATATAATTACTAAATAAATTCTAAAAATTTTCCAAAATTTTTTTTTTTTCAAATAATTGTTAATGATTTTCATTGAAAACTGAATTTATAACTTTTAAATTTCTCGATTTTTTGATTTGTTATCGCCCTGAGGATTTATATAAAATTATAAATTTTAATAAATTATTAAAAAACCTGTAGATTGGTTGGATTGAATCTTTTATCCTGATATACTAGTTATCTCCACTAGCTGGTTTTATGTTCATGTGGTATCGTGTTTTGTTGTTTCATGTCGAAATTGAAATCGAAATTGAAATTGAAAGGACCGCTAGATATTATTTTTCATCTCGTTTCTTTTCTTTCCTTCTCTTCTCTTTCCTCCCGTCTTATAAGTCGGAAATACTTATGCTGGCCAAAACACGCCAGCTACCTGAGCATCCATAAACAATTCATCTAGTTGCTCTCCAGTTCCATCCCATACACACCCCACCTCACTCAACCGCACGCGAACTCACCATCCCAGACCTCGGATCTATTCTCCCACTCGTTCCAGCTGCCACCCCATGCCCATACCCAGACCCAGGACTAACATTCGCCGTCGTACTCCCAGACGCTTCAGGTATATCCCTCAGCTCACTACTATGAATATCTCTAGAGTGCGAATGCATATTAAGACCTGCTTCTAGCTCATCGAGATTTGTTCCTTCTTCATCCATACTATTGCTATCCCGATAATTATAATTATAATTACCAGCTGTAGCTTTTCCTCTTCGGGAGAAAAATCTATTAAGATGTGTTTTTGCGCGTCCGGAATTAGATGAGGTGACTTCATTTAACTGGGCGCCTCGCGAGGAGGAATCTTGGGTGGATTGACGCGCGAGACTTTCTTCCTGGTCGCGGGATTGTGTATCGCGGCTTCGACGGGATGGGGCTCCAGGGGAGGCAGATGTCAAAGTGACGTCCGGGATGGGAATGCGTGGTTTGGGACGATCGTCGAAAACGTCGCCGAGATCCATGCCCGAGGCCATTCCTTGCATGCCAAGGGAGAAGTCGACGCGTTTATTCATTGCGGAGAGAGATTCTCCGCGGCGTCGGGCGTTGGATTGGGAAGTAGACGTTCGGCGGCGGAGGATGGATGGATGGGGATTTACGCCGGAGGTGTTTTGTGGTCCGGTTTGCGGTTCGTATTCTCCCATGGGTCCTTGATCGCGAGCGAGAGATCCGGATCGTGGACCGGGTCCGAATTCGGATTGTTCCGGGTTGGGTTGGTAGGGGGGTGGATAGGCTCCATTGAAGTAGACTGGATTTTCTTGGGCGAAACCGGCGAGTCGTTGACGTGGACCTTGGATTCCTAGATCTTCCATTGCGCAAATCATGGCGATGATGAATTTGTTGCGACGTTGGAGACGTAGTAATTCATTTTGCCAACTAGATTTGTAGAAGAAGACGACGTTGAATGTGATGGAGTAGTTTTCGTAGATGGTTGTTACTTCGGTGATGATCTTTCCTTGATATTCGCGTTTTTCGGTCTGTACGAATTTGACGAGTTCTTCGCGGAGTTGTTCGAGTTGTTCGATGGATGTGCCAAATTTAACAGTGATAGGGACTGCTTCGGCGAGCCCACCTGAGCGACGCTGATTCAGGATGAAAAGCGTATTGAGGTAACTATTCGGAGCTTGTACGACGTGTCCTTCCATCTTTTTGAATTCGGTAAAGAGGAGAGAAATTTCTTTCACGAAGTAATCATCACCTTGTAATTTGGAACCCGTGTTTCCGTAAATCGTGACTCGGTCACCGACATCAAAAGGATGCTTGACGAAAACAAAGATGATGGATTGTAAGAACTCTTGAGCAGTAGCAGTGAACAACCAGGAAAGAGCCAAGACAGATGATCCAGCTGATGTCAAGACACCAGATGCAGAAGTGGAGATTAGAGAGATGAAGACCAATACGGTAATGACTACAACGATAAACAATAGTATATTATCGAGTTTACTGACGACGGAGTCCAAATCTTTGAGCGAGGCAGTAATTGCTTTTCGTTCTCGTCCAATTTCAACACAAACTGTTTCGAGTTCTTCCATGGAGATATCTCCGTTCAAATCTTTATCGAACATGGTAAATGCTGCTTCGGCCTCTTCTTCATTATCGAAAGCGAGTGTTAAGTCCTCCGCAAGAATAGTATCCGAGTTATCATGTACAAAAGTTCGGTAAAGTCTTCTCGCAAGGACTTGAGATCCGGTCGTGGTGTTCAAAAGCTGGAGGATCCTAGAATGTACAATTAGCATCGTCCGGATTCATAGCTTGAAGAAATACTTACACCTGATGTGGATGAGTACTCGATGTTACGGCTCTTCCGGTAAAATCTCCAGCTACTTTACCCGCGACATCTCCAACTTTGGTAAAGACATTTCTTGCATTTTTCTGCGCTTTGTTGACATAAAGCATTGGAGTACGTGCTCCAGACCTAACACCCGCCTGCGCACTATGATCCTCAAAATCCGCATCTAGCTCTTGAATCTTTTCCTTTGAATATTTGTACAATTTGACCAAACTCTGAATTTGAAATTTGTTGAGTTCGATTCGGTCCGAATATGTTCGCAAGTGAAAACTGATGGCAATGAGTTGAATAATGATTTTTTCAATGAAGTTTAACGTTGCTCCGACGAAAACCGACACGATGATCTTATTGCAAGTGAGTTCCCAATCACGAGTTGTTTTGTTTCCATCGAGATGATGGTTCTTCATCGTTGGAAGAAAAGAAATTTCAATGGCCAGCCACCAGAAGAACAAGGTTGCTGGAACCTCTAGTGATTTCCCTAAATCTCTCCATTTCTTGTCGTTATTTGTGAATAAGCTGGAAATCAGGCCCATTGGATACGGGATGCATTTGGCGATGATCTATAGGGAGCAATTAGCGAGGTTTTGCTTCAAAATATCATCCGATTACTCACTCTCGCAAGCCATAAAGTCAACCAAACAATTTCCAACCAAATCCCAAACCAGAAAAGCTTCACACCTCCAACTGTAGTGTTTTCAAAAAGAAGAAGTCCAAACAAGAGGGGAATTAAAAGTAGTAACATCACTGGCGTGATATAGACGAAATATCGAACTAAAATGCTAGAGCCGTGAACCTTCTTAAAGAACTTTGCAAGTTTCGTGGCAGGGTGTGCTGGTGGCCTATATATCTTGGTCTTCTCGTGGATGGGTGTGGTATTGACGTCGAAGTCATCAATGGGTTCTGCACCTCCTCCCCTTGATCTCGATATCAGTGATTTGCCCATACTGTGGGTATCTTCCTTCTCTTCGATCGATATTACGCGTTCTACTCGAAGCATCTCAAGATCATCGTCAAGCCGCCGCGATTGCTCTCTTTGTGCTGCAGCAGATAATGGGGATTGACTTCTTTTGCTGAGGTGTTCCAGATCATTGGTAAAACTTGTGGCAACTCGCAGGTGGTTGTTATCCATTTCTTGCTCATGATGGTGGTTATGATGGTGGTCATGATGGTCATGATTATCATCGTAAGGGTGTTCACCTCTTAAAGTTCCATCTTCATCAGACGAGCGATGCTCCTGTCGAGATGATTCTTGGTGATGGTTATGTTGAGTGTCTGTTGAAAATGCCGGGAACGAGTATTGTTCCGTCTCTAGAATTGGTGTCGACATGATGTATTTTTATTTTATATTGTAATGATTTTTGATCCGATTCCCAAATTGAGTATTAATATGGGGAAGAGGAGGATCTTGTTGCAAAAATGGGCCCAGGGTCAATCCCACGATCTCATGGGAAGTGTAAGGGGTGTTCAACGATAGGTCTGTGAAAGAGTTTTGATTCTGAAAAATGGACTGTGACTCAGGAATTGGAAACTTTGTAAATTGAATAATGGGTATCTAGAAATTCGAAACAAAACGAGAGATATTCCCCACGGGCGATCAAATTAGTTGAAGATCGTAAGTTCTCGAGGAGGCACTGGGGATTGTTTGATATATGGGTATTTGAAAATAGAAAAACAATGGTGCCTCAGAGGAGAAACAAGAAAATGGACAAAGCGAGAGTGACGACGTGATGATCAAGCGACAGTGGGGATGATGATTTGATGGCGGAGAGGGAAGCAGGAGAGACTGCGAGAGAGTGAAGGGTGAAGGGTAGGATAGGATGGGGATTAGAAGAAGTGGAGAGGCGGGAGACTCTGAATATATTGTGTGAAATGAAATTCTTATCATTTGCCATCGGTGACATTTCTTTACCTAAGGATCTTGGTATGTCTCGATGCTCCACTTGAACGATTGAGATTCTGTGCGGAGTAGGGTTTAGGGATTCATTGATTCATGGGTTTGTATCTGTGAGTTTCTTATACCTTTCTCAATAAGTTTTGCTTTCCCCTCGTACGTGTCATACGGAATTTGAGGAAGTTTGCAAGGAGATCTAATTACGTAATCACACCCAAAAACATTCGGTTTCCATAAATATGAATGTATATTCTTCTCTGATTGGCTTGAAAGATGACACCCAGCCAGCAAAATGTTTTTGGCCCGTCCCTTCTTGGCATGCTAGGGGGACCCAAATGACGTCATAGCATGTCAGGGTAGATTGTCCTCAGTTTGTAAAAATCAATCGGAAGATGATGAAGAGTTGTTGTTGTTGTGACAGTGCACGCGCAGAAGGGGTGAAGAGTCATGGTTATTCGGGAAAGTACGTACAGTCCTCGTAGTCGGATGTGAATATCCCTTTTAACCAAAACAAACCATTCATCCCATCTCAAATTTTATCTTTATCAAAGACAGATTAGCCTTGGCAATAACTCAACGTCCACTTGAACGTTTCCCTGCTATCTATTGGACGGCCCGGTTCACTATTGAGCCAGTTAGCCTTCAGGTCGAAAGCGTACAGTGTAGACTCCCGGATGCCCTCTTCCAGTAACCCCGTAAGTACCCTTCATAAATCGTACTTCCCAGCCTTGTAATTCATGTCGCTGGATCTTCAGGTCCTTTCAACCCCTGAAATTCCCGAATTTCAAAAGCAAAAGGCGCCATAAGAATGAGAGATAAGCACTAACGCCACTAAAAATCGGTTACTTTTGGTGCCGCTATGTATGGCTTAAGCCAAGCGAGCATAGAGTACATGGAGCGTGTGTCGGGGATAGAGCCGACCGTTCCCTTTCGTCTAGATCTGATGTGTTGAGTACTCAATCCTATCCTCGTCCTTCTCCTATTCTTTCTCTCTGCATCATTCAATATCTTTCCTTCCCAAAAATTAATCATATCCCAGAGCTCGACAGCTAGATCTCTTCACCGACCCAATGTTCCTCTCCTCGCTTCCTTATCACTCACAAAGTTGGGGGGTCGATCAAAAAGAGTTGCATTTTTGATTCGTATTACTTGTCGATCACTGCATCAGCTTGCGTACTCACAAATCGAGGGTCATGGAACCACTTTTTTTCATTTCTTGAATTATTGGATTTTGCTTTCTCTTCTAGGTTCAATGGTTTTTGCATCTGCTAAGCGATACATCGAGACCATAGTGGAGTTGAGAGATCGAGGGAATGGTGGAACCTTTCAGAGATGGAATCATGGATGTCGATATCTAGAGCTGCGATCCTTATTTACCGTGAAGCAATTATCATGAAGTTCCTTGACCAACAGAGCTAGGAAATGAATTCATTTTCCCTGGGACAGGGACTGCACAACCTTGGTTCTGGATGGCGGTGCGTCGTTAACCCCGCTCGTTCATCGTGTTGTTTGCTCTCACCTCTTCTATTGTACAGATATTGATATTGATATTGATATTGATAGATAGATATCATGCTTCGCCATTCCTTTTGTCACCTTGTCTCACCGGACTGATGAGATTGTAACATGATGGGCGAATGTGCTTTGTATCTTTCAATTTGTTGCATGTGATAAAACTTTGATTGAATAATATTCAATTCAAATTCCATATTCGAACCTCGGTCTTCCAATTCCCAGTCCTACATTCTTGAATTTTCATTTTCTTTTCATCGGAGCTCTTTACCCCCAGAAGAGCAAACTATGACCCTGCATATATTCGCGGTTGAATTCTACCACCCTAGCTAACATCAAATGTTGTGTATCCCGACTAATCATATAACCATCATTTGTTGCATATCTGAGTCTCGGATGTTTGCTTTCGTGTTTTCCACAAAGTCCAAGTGGCCACCAAATTGAATTTTATTTTTGTTTCAACATTCTGAGGCTGGCTGGGCTTACCTTGCCATTTCGTGTCCTCCTTTGACTGAATCACGTGAAGATAAGAGCTTATCTTCCGATAACGTTTCAGTTTTTCTTATCTAGAAACAACTTCCTTTTTGAGATTTGAGTGTGTAAAGTGCGTTAAGCAAAGCACAGTGAATTGAAGCGGAACCCCGCGCTCGATAAAACATGCTTTCATCCCGGGGTATATTACGGTCTCTTCTTACCTCAAGACCATCAAATTGTTACTCAATAAGCAAGTTTTAACATTCATTCTGGAATAATACCATTGCTAAGATCTGCCAAAGATAATACTCGACCCCTCCTAAGTCCCTTTCTTTACCCCGCGTCAGTCCGTAGCATTCGATCCAGCTTCGCATTTTCCATCATGGCATCTAATGGAAAGCCATTGGGAACAGATGATTTGAAAGGTCTTGGTGGAACAACTGAGCTATCCCCAACTCCTGGACCTCATCATGAAATCAATGCTTGGTCCGGTCCAGGACAAGCAGCATTTGACTTTCGCAGTACGACCCTCATTCATTCCCCACCCAGTCATAACTGACATCTGTACCAGGCGATGTAATGACTACTCCCACCAAATCCATGCTAACAGCCATTCAAAACACCACACTTCTCGATGACGTCTTCGCCGAGGACCCAACAACCAATTCACTCGAATCATACCTTGCACAAATTACCGAGCATGAGTCGGCCATTTTTGTCCTCTCCGGTACCATGGGTAATCAAATTGCTCTCCGCTCTCATCTTACTCAACCTCCCCACTCCGTCCTCTGCGATCATCGTGCACACATTCTTGAATGGGAAGCTGGCGGTACTGCATCCTTGTGCGGCGCTCTCGTCAAGGGAGTTGTGCCTAGTAATGGTGTATACTTGACTCTCAAGGACGTAGAGAAATATGTTACGATTAGTGATGATATACATTCATGTCCAACGAGAGTTATAAGTTTGGAAAATACATTAGCAGGTACTATTATGCCACTGGAGGAGGTCAAGGCCATAGCAGGATTCGCAAGGAAACATGGTATAAAAGTCCATATGGACGGAGCTAGGATTTGGGAAGCAGTTGTTGCAGGAGCTGGATCTTTAACAGATTTCACGAGGGAATGTGATAGTGTGAGTTTATGTTTTAGCAAGGGATTAGGAGCTCCAGTAGGTAGTATGCTGGTTGGCAAGAAGGAATTCATCAAGCATGCTCGATGGGTACGAAAGAGTATTGGAGGTGGACTCCGTCAAGCAGGTGTATTGACAGCGGCTGCGAGAGTTGCGGTTGATGAAACATTTGGAAAGGGTCCAAATGGAGAAGGGGGTCTCTTGCGTGAGAGCCATAAGACAGCGAAAAAGATCGCAACTTTATGGGAAGGATTAGGTGGAAAATTGCAGCAACCGACGGAAACCAATATGGTATGGTTAGATTTAGAAGATGCGGGGGTTTCAGCGGCAGAATTTAGGGAGATGGGGAAGGAAAAGGGTTTGAAGCTTTCGGCTGGAAGATTAGTGGTACATTATCAGATTGGGGAAGAGGCGGTTAAAAAATTGGAGGAGACTATGAAGGATATTTTGGAGAGGAAGGGAAAAGGTATTGAGGTTGCGGGTAAAGAGAAAAAGATTGGTGAGAAGGATTATGGTACTTGAGGGGATGGATTGCATGCATGGGATGTATTGAGATCTTGAGGCGTAAGAGGGTACTTTCCTCATTTCTTGATATGATTCTTGATATGATTCTTGATATTGTGAGAAAGTTGGGATTATAAGCCAAATACATAAAGGTTTTTAACCAATCAATCACATGACCTCCTCCTCCTATAAGTAAATATGAAAGAAGAGCTTTTATCTCTTCTTTCCACAATAATCAACCTTCTACACATATACATTTGGTCTATATAATATCAACCTCAAAACTATTGTGAATCTCGTTTTCTTCATAAATGATGTATTACAATATAATCTATTTCAGCTTTCTCTTCCAATTCCCTTTCACAGTGTGCTATCGGGACGCACGTATCTCGACCTACCACTTTTACAATATGATGTCTGGTAGTCGAAGTTTTTACATAGAAAGCAGAAAGGCTAGACTAAAGAGTCGAGATGTAGATTTTAAGATCATTGAGATATGTCAAAAAAATGATTTTACATCTCTAGAATAAAGTAAGATCTTACAATAAGTCTAGTACCCCTCTTTCCGAACACCTTTTTACACCAAAAATCATCATTTTCAGCTATTAATAACTTCACAATTAATCATTAGGATTTAATGAAATTTGAATAACATATATATTATATAATTATTAATAGATTCTGAAAATTTCAGATTTTTCACGATTTTATTGGTTAAGAAATTGAAAGTTGAAATTACGATTTTCAATTTGTATAAGATTTATATACAAATTTGAGAATCATCAAAACTTTAAATAACTTTTCAGCAAAAGTTATTAAAAATAAACTATTAATCTTTTTGAAATCTTCAAATCAAATAATATATAATAAATTAAGATTTTGAATTTTAAATTATATAGAAAAAGTTTTATTTATATTTTTAATTTTTACAAAGATTGAAAATCACAATATTTTAATTAGAAGGATTTTTAGAAATTGATTTTGAAAATTAATTAATTCATTTCATTAATTATAGTATAAATATTTGAAAATTCTTTATAATTTATTTTTAATTATTTTTGTTGGAAAGTTATTAAAGGGTTTAATAATTTGTCAAATTTGTATATAAATCTTTATACAAATTAAAAATTGAAAAATTTAAACTTGTAGATTTTAATGAAATTGATTTTAAAAATTCTGAAACTTTTAAATTGATTTATAATTATATAATGAATATACAATTCAAATTTCATCAAATTCTATTGATTGGTTTTAAAGTTTTTAATAGCTGAGAATCACGATTTTTGGTGTAAAAGAGGGGCCTAAATTGGGGGTAGCCTGAAAGTAGGGTATTAGACCTATAGCTTCAACCCCAAGTCTATTATGAACCTTGTTTTCTCTATAAATAATATATTACAATATATCTAATCAGCTTTCTCTTCCAATTCTCTTTCACAGTGTGCTATTGGGACGCATGTATCTCGACCTACCACTTTTACAGTATAATTATGAACTGAATTTGAGTAAATTCGCACTTGGGATACTTCATCTAGCTAGATGGTAAAATATGGTATAATCCACAACTTTGTTGCACTACATGATTTCCATTGAATATCTATTAACTGGAGAACCGGATGTTCTGGTTTTTCCTCTCTACTGGATGTGGGGGAAATATCCGCTAAACCACTGCTTCGGGCTTAGCGTGAGATAGTACTAGATCAGCTCTTTTTCAAAGTCACTACATTCAAAAAATTATTCTTGTAGGTGTGAAGAGGGTTAATTGGATTATTTAGTACGAGTGGAACAATACATATCCCGCTCGAATCGCATCTGCTATATTATGCCTAACAACATGGTTAATGAGACTCTCGTTGTTGCCAAATTTTCAAGAGCTTGAGGTAGAAGTAGTCCTATAATACTCCTCGATGGCTACTGGGAAGTAGCTTAAGTAGTATATTGGAATTTTAGCACCGCTATCATTACCCTTTTTTTGTATAACTGATATATGGCAACTCCTGAATATTGATAGCACGCCGCCCTTGTAGGCGGCCTGGACGTAATGGAATGACTCTAAAATTACTTTTGGAAGAAATCTACAAAACTGTCGTTTTGTTTGAATGTAGTGTATATATTAGGTATGGCCTGAAGATGAAACCAAATTCGTGTAATCAGTTCCATCGTATTTCTATCCTCTCTCATTGCAAAGACCTAAAAAACATAGATCATGCAAACAACTCACTGGAAAATTGTATGAGAATGGAGGAGATGAGAAGTGAAGAAAAGCTAGAATGGACAAGAATAATAGTAGTGGCATTGTCTCATATGAAATGTTGTTAAAGGAGAAATACCATTTGCAGATTACAAATATATTGACCTAAGCAGAAATCTCTGGTGTGAGTAGAGATAATTAAAGGTAAGCAAATCCGGGGATGATAAGGTTAATTCAAACACAAATTCATCACCGGACTCGTGAACCTTTGACTGGAGCAAGAACTACACATAGTAGGATGTCCATCTATCATGCTCCCGCGATAGTTTCATGGAATTATGAAGCCTAGCTCCCTTACTCGAAACCATGATACAGGTTAAAGATTGTTCAGTAATGATTTATCTTTGTGAACTCTGGACGTAGTCAAGACCGTACTGCACTCAGGTGCAAATTGGCTAATAGCTATGCCGTGCTTTCTTGAGATGTGTTGATTCTGACCGACTTTTGTTCACGTCAAGTTGGTGGCATAAATAGATGTAATCTTACCAAATCATTTATGATCACAGAGGCAAGTCTCGCTTAGTGGTAACAACGGTGTTTGGTTCGATCTACTTCACTGTGTAATGGTAGCTAAAAATTGAAATTCAAAAGGTATTAGGGAATATGGCTATCGAAGTCGATCTCATTATATTCATTATATTCATGGGATATACTTAACCATGATTAAGTACAGAGCAGGATATCCTACTTTGAAGTAGGATGTCGGTGTGATCATATGCATAATGCGACCGGAAGTATCGGCTAATATATTTTCCATTCCGCAACGGCTAGCTGTGCTTGGGGATCCCAAAAGCCTCGGTCCATACACAAATCCTAGACACCGACCGGCTGCTTAAATCACTTTCTTTATGAAGGAGAGCCCTGAGGAGTATTGTAAGTCTTTCATTTCGGGAATGCGACTGATGTATTTCAAGTATCTTCTCGAGTTTAAACAAAAATAACTGAAATAAGACAGCTGTCAAGTACGGCAAAGAGTCCTTCCCGACACATAGGGTAGCTCTAGCTCCTAGGTAGCTACACCATACCGCATCCACGAGCTCGTGAAACGACCAATCAAGAATGTCAATAACCTCCAACAACACCATGGCATCCTTTGCACAAAGCAAGAAACGAAAAAGAAGACGTCAAGATAAGGCATCCATTTCAGCGAGATTGATTCTGGATGAGCATGTGAAAGGGGATGTGGGAATCATATCTGAGGATTTGACAAAAGACTTATTTTTGAGCGGTGTGTCTGGGGAAACGGTGCACTACATTGCGATATCTCCCTGGGGTCCTTCTAAAGCAGTCGAAGACTCAACATGGACTGTTCTTCCTGTCAGGTCCTCAAATACATTGGCACATTCCACCGTACAATTCTCACCGGACTCACCGACTCTACAAGCATTCGCCGAAACCCTTCAGAAGGTTGCTTCCTCAAAATTATCCAGCAATAGCAGAAGCGGGATTGAAATACGCGTCCTAGATATCGTGCCATTACCTTTAGAGACAATTTTTGTTACGATTGAGGGGGAGTCTGCAAAGAGATTAGAAAATGGAGAAGGGACATTTCACGGAGAACATCCGCAGACAAGCGGACACGCAAAGTCATTAGCAAATGGGGTAAGCCCAGAAGATAAACTGACCAAGGCGATTCGAGAAGCTTTAAGATCGTTGAAAGTCGTTCATACAGGAGATTTTGTTCAATTACCTTTACAACCCCATCCTATCACACATGTTCCTCCTCCTCCGGCAAAAGTAACTCTTAGCGAGCCTGTGGGACAAGGACTACTGTCGCCAAAAACCAAGATAATTGTCACACAAACTGGCCATCATGCAAAAAATCAATCAAAACAAACGCCTATCCCAATGAGCCGAGGGCTGAATCAAGTGACGGAAGAGGACGAAGATACAAGTAATGACCAATTCTATTCCGCTGCCGAGGACAGATATAAAACCGATACTGCTTTTGAGGAGGAATCTGATTATGTTACAGAAACAGAAACAGACACGGAGCTAGAAAGTAGTGCCGATAATGATAGTCTTTCGGATGATTCCATGGACGACATGATCTCCCTACAAGCACCCATGCTACCAGCTCACAACGCCAGCGGAATTTCGACGATACAACCGGGATCCCCCCAAACAGTTGTACCCGGCGGACGAAGAACGAATGGTGTCGCTACGCCAGGTTCCGTATTCTCTTCTTTCACGACAACTACTCGTGCTGGTGGACAAAGCGGAAGATTGTTCAAAACGCAAGGACTAGCTACACCACTTACCGACGAGATGCTGCACCCCAAGCCCAATGCCGACGATGATGAGGAGGCGAGGATATTCGTGGATATCAACTCTCTAACCAAGATTGGGTGCTTTTCAGGAGATTGGGTAAGGTTAGAGGCAGCCGCAGAACCTCCTGTCAATGGCGTTGGTCTGTGGGGCCCGGGGGGCTTTGGAGAAGCAGAGGAAGAAAAGCCCTGGCGGCCTGTGAAGGTTTTTGGTCTCCCGGAAAACTACTCACACCGTCCCATGACCAAAATACCACGTGGTAAACAGGAGGGTCGAAGACTGTCTTTCTTTGAGTCACAAGTTCAGAAACCAGCCACCCCATCGGCTTACATGTCACCTATCCTCCTCGCAAATTTGGAGAACACTTCCTACTGTCGCATTGCTCCTTTGAAACTATCATCACAGGCAGTAACATTGAAAGCGCCATCAGCTAAGATTACTGGCTCTTCTTCCCCCCCTGTAGCCAAGGAGTTAACTCTCATGAAGATCTCCACCCCTGCCTCTAACGAGCGCACTTTGCAAAACGCTTTGTTTGCTGGACTAAAAAAGCATTTCGCTGGAAAAACGAGAATCGTTAGAAAAGGTGATCTCATTGCTGTTCCAATCGATGAAGTGCTTGGTCGAACTCTAAGTCAGTCATCTACAAGCGAGGACCTTGAAATCGATGACATGTTATCAAACGCAAAACTCAATGACTGCGAACCTAGTAAATCAAGCAAGACGAGTGGAGTCGCTTGGTATAGAGTAAGCTACCTTGGTTTGACGAAGGATAATCAGGAAGATAGCGAAGATGATGACGTATGGGGAGGTGTAGCCTCGATTGACGCCTCGAACACACGTATGATGCAATCTGGAAGCGAAAATAGTCGGTTACCTGCAACTATGGAGAATTCCTGGGAATATTACTTGGGGCTCAAGTCGATATCTAAGAATGATCTGGAATCTACCGCAATACCAGAAATAAAACGACCGCATGTCACAACTTTGCAACGACGATTGAGAGAATTGATAGCCACAGCCACAAGTCCTAGAGCTATACATCTGAAGCTACCGCCACTTGCAATATTACTTGTGTCTACGCAACGTGGCATTGGAAAAGCAACATTAGCAACCAAGGCTTGTGCAGATATTGGTCTACATACCTTTAAGCTTGATGCTGTCGATATCGTCGGCGAAGGTGGAGCTGGAAGCGACGTTAAAACTGCTGGATTTCTGGAGGCGCGCGCTGAAAGGGCTATGAATTGTGGCCCCGAGTTTTGTGCACTCCTTATACGTCACATCGAATCGCTCACTGCCGACAGAATGGTCACTACATTAAAAGAAATTCAAAGTGGAACGAGAGTCATTATTGCGACCACAACCGAGGTCGACAAGATTCCAGACGGTATCCGAGGTTTGTTCACTCACGAACTCGAAATGACTGCTCCTGATGAGTGGGAGCGGGAGGGAATCCTTCGTGCTATAATCGATGACCAAGCTATCGATCTCGCACTAGACGTAGACCTTAGTTCAGTCGCCGTAAAGACTGCTGCTCTTGTGGCTGGAGATTTAGTTGATGTTGTAGATCGAGCTCTTGTGGCACGGAACGCTAGGATAGAAATACTCGCAGCTGCATGTACCAATGCTGAAAATATTGTTACGGTTCGCGACGTACTTGTTTCTGGTGGGGCAGCAGGCCGTTGTCTTACCAAAGCAGATTTTGATTTTGCAGTAGACGCCGCACGAAAGAATTTTGCTGATTCCATTGGTGCACCAAAGATTCCAAATGTTGGTTGGGATGATGTAGGTGGTCTTTCCAATGTCAAGGAAGCAGTAATGGAGACCATTCAATTACCTCTAGAGAGACCAGAATTATTCGCGAAAGGCATGAAGAAAAGGTCTGGCATTTTGTTTTATGGTCCTCCTGGTACTGGAAAGACTTTACTTGCGAAGGCTATTGCTACGGAATTCAGTCTCAATTTCTTCAGTGTCAAAGGTCCGGAGTTACTGAACATGTACATTGGTGAATCTGAGGCCAATGTTCGACGAGTCTTTCAACGTGCGCGTGATGCACGACCTTGTGTTGTTTTCTTCGACGAGCTTGACTCTGTGGCACCTAAGAGAGGCAATCAAGGGGACAGTGGTGGAGTCATGGATCGTATTGTGTCACAATTGTTGGCGGAGTTAGATGGCATGTCTGATGGGGATGACGGTGGTGGAGGTGTCTTTGTCATTGGCGCAACTAATCGACCGGATCTTTTGGATGCAGCCTTATTGAGACCAGGAAGATTTGATAAGATGTTGTACTTGGGAGTAAGTGATACGCACGAAAAGCAAGAGACGATTTTGGAGGCTTTAACAAGGAAGTAAGTTATCTAGTATCTATTCATATTGAAACACACTGACTTCAATAGGTTTACACTCTCCCCTACGCTATCCCTTGCACGTGTCGCTGCCACACTTCCATTTACATACACCGGAGCAGATTTTTATGCTCTCTGTTCTGATGCTATGCTGAAAGCTGTAACACGTCAAGCATCACTCGTGGACTCACATGTCGCCGAACTCAACTCCCAACGCGTAAGCGAGGGCAAAGGAAAGGTTTCAACGGCATATTGGTTTGATCATTATGCGAAAGAAGATAATTTGCGTGTGGTCGTACAAGAAGAGGATTTTGAAGCTGCAGGAAGAGAGTTAGTTCCTAGTGTTAGTGCAGGAGAATTGGAGCATTATGCAAGAGTTAGAAGTCAATTCGAGAGCGTAAAAGATAAGGATAAAAGTGCGCAAAGGCCTACCTCGTCAGGAAGTTCAAGGAGCTCAAGAAAAGGGAAAGGAAAAGGAAGAGTAGATGTCAAAGGCAAAGGAAAGGCGAAAGACATGGATGGATGGGATGAGAACGCCGAGGATGGTTATTATAATGGCAGTGATGAAGAACAACTTAATGGTACGGTCAGAGTGAAGGGGAAAGGAAGGGAGTCTGTACAAGGCCTATTTCAGGATGGAAGTATGGAGGATGAAGAGAATTTATATTGATGATGTATAAGGCAGGATATATGAGGATGTATCTACTAAAGAGGAAGAGAATATATATAATTGATGAACATAATCATAATCTTATATACACGCACAGGCTCTATACAAAGTCAGAACATACTTTTAAGTTACTCTATCCTATTTGCTGTAGAAAAATAAATCATCTCGTAATTTTTTGAAATATTATTTATATCATCACTCCCCGACGTCATCGGATGGTATGACCCCTGTTTATTTCATGTCAGCATACGGAGTAAACAAGCTTTCTTTCACATGTATGAATTCCACATATTCAGTCAAATTTTAGCCAATAAAATAATAATCCGATGACAATTATCCAACGGCCGCAGCACATGTGCACGGCCAGTGGAATTGACAGAGAAACATGAATCTCACATTGTCTGTTTGGTAAAGGTATCGCATTTCCTAGTTGTTTTTGTGCGTGTTTCATTTTTCTTGTTTGGGAGGTCATTTCTCTCTACGATTGTTTGTAAAACTTCTTGTTTTCTTTCGCTGGCTCGTAAAGGAGTTGCTCGCGTTTTTTTGGGTCTGATTGGAAGCTTTGTCCGTTTGAGTTGGGCTTGTAGATTGTGAGAGACGGAAGGCAGGGACAGGGGATAAAAGATCTTCACAGTTTCCATGATTTCGAGGGCTCCACTCGAGCAAATTTAAATGACTTCGAGGTTCAAGTCGAAGCAATTTGAGTATGTACAATATACCGCCATGAACAACGAACCTGAAATCGAATCCGCCTATGCCGGCCAAGCTGCGAAGCTCTCCCACGTTAAACCGGAGGACGACGATACTGGGTCTGGGACGGCGAAAAGAGCGGACTATGTTACGCCAAGGGATACGGTCGTTGTTATGGAGGATGGAGGGCGATTGCCAGGGCCACCGTTACAGGAGGCGGAGAGATTGAATGGGCTTAGAAGGCAAGCAAGGGGAGTGGGTGGTAATATGAATAGTGAGGCCGAAGGGACGGGTGAACTTATGGACGAGGAGAACAGGCTCGCAGCGGGCGAGGAAGTGCGGAATTCACATGAAGATAGAGGAGATGACGGGCAAATCTCAGGCCAAGGCTCCCTTCGACGAGCTATGCCACCCTCGAAAACGCATCCTTTATTCCCACCTCTACCACTATACGGCCCCTCGTCGATTACGAGAAGTTTACAATGTTGGACATTCAGAACTACGAGCTTTTTCTTGAGCTGCGCATTTTTGGGGCTTATTGTAATGGGAGCAGGAGTTATGAGTGTGCCAGCCATTTGCAGGTATATTTGGTATAAAGCTACATTTAGAGATCCGGACCGAGGAAGGGTCTTCTACGATGAAGAGAAGGAACGAGAGAGAAGGAGGAAAGAAGATGAGATGAGGTGGAAGAGATTAAATCGCCGAAAATTCTCTCACGAAAAAATGGATGATAATGAAGATGAAGCGGGACAAGGAGAGTTTGTACCGACAGAGGGAGGAAAAGATCCACTGGTTTGTGATGTGGGATATTATGCACGCAGGGTAGGTCTTGATGTTGAAGAGGTAAAGGTTCAGACAGAGGATGGATTTATTATTGTTTTATGGCATGTATACAACCCAAACGAATATACTCCTATGACAGCCGAACAGCGGGCGGCTCGTGGCCCAGAACTATTTACTGGTCAGGGGCCAAGTCGTCCACTCCCTTCGGCATCTAATCACGAACGAAAGTATCCGGTTCTAATGATCCACGGGCTATTACAATCATCTGGTGCTTATTGCACCAATGATGACCACTCCCTGGCATTCTACTTATGCAAACAAGGCTATGATATCTGGCTTGGTAATAATCGATGCGGTTTCACGCCAGAACATACCCTTCTTGAATACTCGGATCCTCGTATGTGGGCTTGGAATATTCGGCAGATGGGTGTGCTGGATTTGCCAGCACTTACCTCTCGCGTTTTATCCGAAACATCTTTCCCCAAACTAGCTCTCATCGCCCATTCCCAAGGCACAACTCAAACGCTTGTTGCGCTTGCAAAAGAACAACGTCCAGAATTAGGCGAAAAGCTATCTGTGTTCTGTGCATTGGCTCCTGCTGCATATGCAGGTCCTTTAATCGGGAAGGCTTATTTCAAATTTATGCGCATGATCTCTCCTTCATTCTTTCGCCTCATTTTCGGTATTCACGCTTTCATTCCATATATGATGACTATGCACAAAATTGTACCGGGGAAACTTTTTGGGACTTTGGGGTATCACGTTTTCCACTTTTTATTCAATTGGAGTGATGCTAGGTGGGACAAAGGAACCAGAGATCGAAGTTTTCAATTCGCTCCTGTGTACGTTAGTGCAGAAAGTATGAGATGGTGGCTAGGGAGAGAGTGTTTCGCAAAGCAAAAGTGTATATTAGCAACAAAAGAGGAGGGTTTACAGGAAGAGGAAGAAGACAGATGGGTGTCTGGTGAAACATTGAATAATTCAGGTAGTAATAATGAGAAAGGGAAAGAGAAGTTAAAGGCTAAAGGAAAGGAAGTGATGGGCGCATCGAGGCTGGTCGAGACTGAGATGCAATCCGGAGCAGAAATAACGGAGAAAAAGAGGAGGAGAGGACTCAAGGGAAGTACAGCTTGGTACAATGAACAAGTTCCACCTTTTGCGCTGTGGGTGGCCGGAACGGATGAATTGGTCGATGGTAGAAAATTACTTCGGAGATTCGAGAGGGGAAGAGAACCGTGTGTTAAGGTCGTGCATCAAAAAGTGATAGAGGAGTATGAGCATTTAGATGTTATCGTAAGTTTTCTCCACGGTTTATTCCTCTTTTCTCTTCCTCGTTCTCTAATTTCCAGCATACGTTGTGTATATCGTCCACTAACACAAATCGATTCGATAGTGGGCAGTGGATGTTATCGAGCAAGTAGGTCGAGAATTAAAAGAAGTGATTTGGAAAACGTGTTCAGAGACAGATCGAAGTAAATGTCGTGCTCCATTGGGATGCGAAGAGGTCGAAGTCTGGGATGGCGGAGAGAGCTTCGCTGTTTCTGAACGAATAGACAGCCCAGAAAGTAGTCAAAGTCAAACTGACAGTGATCAAATCATCTGGACATGAATGAAAACGAGAGGAAGGTGTATAATAGGCGCAAGCCAAAGGCCATCGATGGAAAACCAATAGAAGTTTATATATAGAAAAGGCGAGGATTTAGATTACCTTAAGCGGAAAGTAATGTCGGTGTTTGGGTACTAGTATATGAGCACATGGATATAGATCGGATGGATTGCATTGGGAAGGATTGGGATTGGGATTGGAAGGAGTGAATGACCTTGAGATTCACCAGTACTTGGAATTATCTCATCAGCGCAAATTACCAGGTCGTTCGATGATAGTTGTATACAGTTCGATATATACTACTAAATATAATTAATAAATTTATTTAATACAAATATAAACAAGAAAGAGGAAATAATATCCCTGACTTGAACATTATTAATTATCAGGATTTCGAAAAAATTGAAATTCTTTGAAGGAAATGAGGGTATTATTCTATTTTATATATAATCCACCTTTGTAAAATAATTTCACTTAAAGATGATTTATATTTGAAGAAGAAAAGATAATTAAAGCTAACCAAATCTAGATTTAAAGATCCTAGAATCTTGTAATCGTGATTACAATTGTACTGGATGGGATAGGAGATAGTCTAAAGTCTCATGTAGCTAGGTATCTAGTGGTAAGTTTGAGGTGAGAGTTGATGAGGACTGGGAGTTTGAAGGTCGTGGTGATTAGGTGGTTAGAGGATGAGGAAGGCGGGGAGGTAAGAGGTGGTGGGGTGGGGTGGGGGGGAAGATAGATATGTTTTGTTAGGTTATACTGTATTGTGTATTAAAATGTTAAAATGTTAAATCTTTTAACTTTGACTCTTTGAGTTTTATTAATGAGAAGGTTATTTAATTGGTGGTGTTGGTGGTCTTGATGATTTTGATAAAGTTAAGATTTTTTGATAATTTATTTTGTAAATAAAGAAATAAAAGAATAACAGAAAAAGGAACAGTTGAGTATCTTTAAAGATCATAGATTAATTGACCAGGGGATAGAATAATAAGTCTTATATAGCACTACACTAGACTAGTACAATATAGCAAAGTCGGAAATTTCTTTCTCTGAACTGAATCCTCATTGAGAAAGTATCTGAATAATCTACCAAATCTTCTCTCTTAGAATATCAATCATCAATATTTGGCGAATGGATCTGGATCTTGTATTGCAGGTTTTGACACCTAGATAGTCTCACGCGGGCAGTAATCTTAATCTGTGTCCGGAATGATGTTTATTGTTACGATCTTACTAATTACTAATTAGTAGGATTTTCAGATATGTAGTGTTTGGGTTTGTGATATGAATATTATGATACTCAAGAAGAAATCTAATATTCTGTTCTTGGGTAGAAGTAAGAGACTAATCGAGGAAAAGTAATTGAATGCATGGTGAGATTAGAATTGAGACGTTTGGTTTTTGATTAATGTAAGAAGATCGTATGCTTAAATTACTCTAGTATATCGTATGTGTATCATAATTAAGTGTAAATTTCCATGAATAGTCTGGGAGGCAATTATGTTGATTCTTGCTTGGGAAGGATTAGCTGCTAAGGTAGTAGGTAGTTAGTTAAAAAGTTTGGGCAGTTAGAAGGACGTTATGTTTAGCTTCATCCCTAGCCAAGAATCACCAAACGTATCGTATCATCCCCGCTAATCTAACTTAATAGCTAAAAGCGTGCACGATTCGATGAGTAAAGTGCATGATTTTGTCATTCATTTTTACTTTGCATTCCCGAGTTGCCTACTCGGGAAAGGGATAACGGAATGAGAAATTTCACCTTGTGAGATTCAACGATAAGGAGATTTTTGAACCCTTCACGGAAGAAAGTCATCTGTCTATCTACGAAATGTAAGAGTTCTGGAAACTTCTAATCGCATACTTTATCGAGAAATAATTGTAACCTTATTTTCAACCCTCAATTATAAATAATTCATCAAAATTCGAATTTTCAATATTTTCTATTCAAACTCAAAATGGTTGTCAAAATTCAAGATGAAAATGATAATTATGAATTTTATCAAAATTGGGGTACCCCTTATAAAGCTAGAGTCTTTCAGATTAGGAAGGATGAAAAATCGTAATCTTGGATCGAACAAAATTTGGATATACCTCAAAGTACTGTAAGAGATATTATTAAATCGAATTCATTTAGAATTATTTGTAAAGAGAAAGTATATCGATTCTCTATGATATCAATTAAAGAGATTCGACGAATTATAAAGGAATTAACAAAAGATTGAAGAGGAAAGAAGATGACTTTTGAACAAATGAAATATGTATTAGGGGTTAGGGCTTCGGTATGTATTATTCGATATGAACTATATCGATATAATTATAAATATTGTATAGTTTATCCTAAACCATTTATCTTTAGAAAACAAACAAAAAAGAGATTGGATTTTGCATATACATATCATTGGTAAGGGACAACCGATGTAGCCTCCGAAAAGCCTAGGGGGGGTGATTGGAGGAAGATTATATAGTCGAACGAAAGCATTTTCGAGGTTGGAAAACGTAATAGGATATAGGTAATTCGTAGGATTGAAGAAAAGAAATGTAAGAGTTATATCAAATTAATATATAGATTAGGAAGGACCTCTGTAATGATATAGGGGGCTTTTGGTTGGAATTATAAATCTCTATTAGTCTTTTTGGAGAAGAATCCTGATGATAAGGGGGTAAATTCAATAGTATATCGGGATCAGATCTTTATTCCTATTGTATTCCTTTTATTTGATGAATTAGGGCTTGAATATTGTGAGAAAGTTGGAATTATAGGCCAAATACATAAAGGTTTTAGCTAGTCAATCACATGACCTTCTGTAGTTAGATATAAAAGAAGAGCCTTTTGCCTCTTCTTTTCACAATAATCAACCTTCTATATATATACATTTGAACCTATATAGCATCAACCCCAAAACCATTGTGAACCCCGTTTTACCCATAAGTGACGTATTACAATGTAATCTAATTCAGCTTTCTCTTTCAATTCCCTCCTCACAGCGTGCTATCGGGACGCACGTATCTCGACCTACCACTTTTATAATATATATTCATGAAGGATAATGCAAAGGTTCATTTGAAGTATACTAGACTAGCTCGATTAGAGTATAGTATTAGAAGCTTTCAATGACCCCTTTCTTCTTCAGATTTCAATTCAATTGAGAAAGTATAGTGTTGGATGAAGGAGGAGTTAAAAAAACTATCATTTGTATTTATTTCTATTGAGGAATTGAAAAGGGAGTTCAAGAGGTTGTGGGAGATGTTTGATCCTTTAAATTTCAGGCTATATATTAAGAGATTGATTTGTAAATTAGAGGATGTGATTGAAGTAAAAGGATTAGTTATTATTCATTAATATATTATTAGATTTTCAATAAAAAATATTGTGGTGTTGATTTAATATTAAATTTTCAAAAGTGTAGGTGAAATTTAAAGGGGGTGCGGTGAGTAATGACCAGAACTCTTACTTGTAATACGTCCTAATTTGTGGGGTCAACCCCCTATCCTTTTCGCCAATTGTTAGCGATAAGACACCGACGAGTTGATATCAGAATGACGTAATGAAACATGAATCTTCTGGGAAAGCTGCAGTCTGACGTTGGGCTTCTGGTTGTGGGCGATACCAGTGAAAATTTGAATCGTGTTGGTACTTTAAGATGCATCTAAATAGAGTCGCCACATGCTCAAACATTGCACCTTGATATGCCTATCTAAGAATGGGCTTGAACGATGAAATACCAGATGAAGGCAAAATGTCCTTTGAACAAGTATGAAATAGATCCAATTAATTGATCAGATATATAAATATATCTTCTCGTCCCAAAGATTTCTTTAGAGGATTCCAAAAAGCTTTTGTTGCAGGTCACTAACCGTTCCTCCATAAATTTATGTCTAACACTGTCAGTAGAAAGCAATCATGTTCGTGACTTGGAAACACTGGATGACACTGTAGTTTCATCACTTAATCTTCAGCTCGATCTTATAGACAAAGTAGGGCCAGCGACACAGTATGTAGTTGGATGATACACAGTTCAACAATGGTAGATACCAAGTAAACTAATGATATACCTCCGTGGCTCACTTAACTAGTCGAAATTTGGCTAGACGGAACTTAAATCCTGAGAGACTAATCAGTGAAGTGAACTATAGGATTATCAGCCAGCCCCACTACAAACCGCGAATCTAAAACAGCTCAATGAAATTCGGGGACCCCATGAGCATATTCTCATCAACATTCTGCAGAAGTAGAGGTATTTAAAACAGCTCTCTGCTCCAATACAGCCATATCAATTGTTCCCGCACAGGCCTGACGGGAGAGCTCTGATATTCAAAGCAAGAAAGCTAGGGGGCTTCGATTGCCGAATTGCGTAGAGCTTATCACAAAATTCTGACGATCTAGTATGCATTGAATTTATCAATTTGCTTCGGTGCTTTTCAACAGATAATAATACTGAGGTCGTGAATATTCCCTATTAAGCGGAATTAATTGCGCTGCAAGTTGAACTAGACACTAGGGGTTGTACCGTTGCTGTCAACGCATACCTCCATGTTTGGAAGGGAGTATAAAATTGCGAAGCTAGAGAAACTGGGTTATTACTACCGCAGCTTACCTTCCTATGATAAGTACATAGAGTTTAATAGCCCCATGCTTTCTGACCGCACGAGTGTTAGAGCTCCGGTTCTTGTCAATTAGCCTAATTTCTAGTAAGATATTCTGGCTAACTGAATGTATGATTGGAGGAACGGCAATGTGGATGAATATTTTATATACGTGCTATGTCCTTCCTCTCTATGACTGTTGCCAAAGATAGTTTTAGCCAGGATAAGTAAGATACGTAGGGTTGAAGCTATATCATGAGAGTCAATATGGTAATAACTTCCTTATATTCATACCGCCAGACATCAGAAAAATGGACAAGATGAACTAAGGTTTTCTATTATTTAAATAACTATTGAAAAGTAACATAGACTAGATTCCGCCACTTTTCAGATCCTTGGCTGGTAGACCTCCTGGCGATAGGCCTCTCCTGATTTGTGTAATTCTTAGCATATACCACATTGGCAAATTTTAGCGATTCAAGGGTTGGAGCGTAACAAATAATCTGTCACGATTAGCAACTGTGAGACTACAACTAGTGATAGCTTTACCGATTTTGCTGAATTCGCCGAATGGAAAATGTATAGAGGGAGGCAAAAATAACTATTGATATTAAATATGCTCCGTAGTTTAGTAAGTTTATCTCCCTCAATCTTCAATATTTATGTGACATCCGGCGATGAATTGAAAAGCGTACGACATATTGGAGTATTAGATACTAAATAGAGAAGACAAATCTTTCACTCCGAGTTCGGTGGCCTGGTGCTAGAGGGTCTTGTCGCATATCTATTTCTTTTACTCGACAGTTGAACGGCGACATCTGATGCTGTGAGATCAGCATTGAAATCTCTAGGGAATGTGCTCAAATATGCATATTAGTTAGACGCATTGATACCTACCTATAAGCACGATAGCTTATCTTATGACGAAGGTACCTTGTTGCTGTTGTCTATGGCCTTAGGTGACAGAGACCTTATCCTTCTAACTCAATCCATCAACACGGCCTATGACAAAGTGTCTATGTTCTCGCATACCATAGGGCATATCTGCACAAGTCAATCAGCAGCATGCAAAAATTTGTGATAGGATATAGCTAATATCACCCACAGATATTTCAATTTCAACGACGCATGTAGCGGTACCACCTATCGAGACGCTTCCACTTACATTCATAGAACCAAAATCTTCCTGCGGTGGATCAGCATCAACAGAAGAAAAAATACTCACTGCCTCCAGACGCAGCTACTTGGCGAATTGTACAAGGAGACGGATATCAAAATGCCAGAAAATTAGTCATCACCTAAAATATTCAAGATCTACCGAGATACCGGGCTTTTTCTGAGATATCCAGAGAATATGCGAAATAAGACACGAAAATCGAATTAAAAGGTCCCAGAGCTCAAATTGAGGAATCATTTATACTCGCACAACAAATAGCTGAAGTGCTCCTTTGATCATCAATAACTTTTATCCATGGCTCCTATTATCAAAAATTTGCTGTGGTGTCCGGTGATGATATCTTCGGGTAACAAAGAAACAAGCATGAAAGGTGCTTTACTACTTTCGGATGGCTGGAATGCTACATGTGCGAAAGAAAAGAAACAAGATCTTACAATAAGTGCGAGATTTCCTTCTCACATTTCAAAATCGTAACTCTCCAGTTATCGATATTGAGATAGAAGCATAAATATTCAGTGGCTCAAGTTAATCTGGCCAAATACTATCGGGCAAAAAGAATTTTCATGTTTACCTCCAGTTTTGATACAATCTGAGCAGAATCACAAGATTTTCATAAAATTTCCATACACATACATCGATTTGTAGTTGAGAATGCCGTTCAAAGGGCAAGCACACAACCCGGTGGATACGAAATTGCATGAGCACGTAAAATGTGCGGATTACGCATATTCTATCGGTTTCTGTGGTCAATAAAACCTGGGAGAAGAATATCAACTCGGTCATTCACGCCTCCGTTGTACGGATCAATTCAGATCATGATCATAACCAGCTACAATGACTTGCATAAAATTCATCCTGGGGAGGAGCAAGTTGAATGCTAACCACTTCAGAAGCTTCCTCCATCATCTTAGAAAATACTACTTGAGAAATAAGAGATGAAGATCAGGATTGAAATGAAAAGAGATGAGGAAATTTGGACTGAAAGTTAATTGCGAACACTATGTTCTTATTTTATATGCAGATTAGTCCATGGATGAACCTTCTGCAAAGAGCTATCTATGGCTACAGACAAAAAGTAAAGGAGCTTTTCAGCTCAGCTATCATTGAAGCGAACCTAACGATCGTGATTATCCTTCATGTGACAATGAACCAGAATCACCACTTCCCCGCCTCACGAGGTTATATCCTATCAGAAACATCGACATATTCTTGGAATAGAGAACCGAAAATCAACGCAATGTGTATGTGAGAAACAGTACTCAAAGGAGATATTGCTTTTTCGTGGTACGAGATAGGAAATTTGTAAATGTGACCCCATTATTCCGGTCATTTTTTCCTGTCGCCCTGTGTACCCTTTGAGGATATGAAGTCAAATAAAGAAGGGTATGGCTGGAAAGTTTTTTCTTTTTTGACACGAATTCTGCGGCGAGTATCTGTCTCATTTTTGCCATGTCTGCGAGTACCTGGTTATGATTGTATAACAACAGTCCGTTTTGCTCATCTCATTTCTTTGGCCTATGTGCGAGAACAGTATTTTCCGGAAGGTCGAGAAGTGGCTCTAATATTTGGCCACTATTTTGCTCAGAGGTAAAAGATGAAGGTGGAAGGGAAGGAAACGGGTTTGTGGATCTACCACTGCTCATCTGGAGAATGTTAGCTGTTGCACAATTATTAATCTAAAATTTTGCGGATATGCCTACATTTGTGTGCTGCTGAGTTCCAAACTGCGATTCTTGAACACCAGATGTCTGCCATTGATCATAAGCCTGCCCATGCAAATCGGTGTTTGTTTGTGGCATCCAAGAATTTCTCTCCGGAAATAGTGGTGAATGTGGCTCCTCTAGGATGGATGAATAGTTGATATGAGAGAAGCCTGAATTATTTTGCTTGTGGCCCGTTTGCTGGAAAGAGTAATTTTGTTCTTGTGGATCCATGGACTGGCGTGACTGGAGTGATTGATTGTGAGAAACAGGCCATTCGTTAGGGTGCACCGAGGCCTCTCTCTCTCTATTCATACTCTGATTGTGGAATTTTCCTATAAATGGGTCCATCATTTGTTGGCCCAGTTGCTGGAAGGTTTGTGTACTAATGGGAGTTTTCTGAAGCTCGAACCGGTTGTAAGTACTAGCATGGAGCTGTCTGTGAAATGGTGCCCGTTGTTTTGTATCTGAGTTGGCATAGTTTTTTAGATAAGAACACATCTTGCCATGGCTAAATTGCTCAAAATGGTCCAGATTTGGAGGAATTGTCTGCATTTGTCGCATTCTATCTATTTGCTGGAAAGGTCCTCTGCCTTGAAACCCATGAGCTTGGGATCCATCAACATTGACCGGGCACTCTTTTTGGGGGCTTAAAGAAACTGGAACATGATGGCGATTGTATGGAGGTTCGATTTGACATCTTCCTAGAGATTCATCAAGACTTCCAGAATATCTGTGTCCTTTCTTGACCGGTGTCTTTTTCTGGATACCGCTGTATCCTGGTAAATTTGAATTCGCCTTTCTGATTGCAGCCTTCTCCGCAACTCTCTTCTCATGTTCCTCAATGATTCTATCAATGCCATTTTTTGCTCTTTGTCTAGTAGAACGCGTCGATGTGGATGACGAGGTTCCTCTATTATCTCCGTTGTAACTATGGTTTTTGGCCGAGAGAAAAGAAACTGGTGAAGAGGAAGGAGGTATAAATGATGGTACCATGGTATTTGAAATTCTACTAAAGGAAGAAGCCTTTGCTGCAGACCTAGAATGCTGTTTTACCTTTGGTGGAGACATGACAGGGAGTATGGCGTCGGACGATTGTACTATGGAATTCGGTACCTGCTTGGGATCATCAATTCACTGTAGATTCATTTCAGAAAAGAGGAGTATCACCTTGGGGCATTGGCCACCTTTCATCTCCTCTTCGGGACGTGTATCAACTGGCATAAAGAAATGACTTCCAACCTCAGATTCAAGTGATTTGGACTCCCCTCTAGAATTTGTATTGGATCTCATTGAATTAACTTCAAACTCATCTACAGTTTCTTGTAGAGTCATTCCGTTCACATCCTCCTCATGTGGGGAGTGCTTGTTGCTGGGAGACTTATCTACACTGTTTGTGATAGAGAGCTCATCACCTTTGTCCTTGCTATCTTCAAGCAAATTGAAAAATTCTCCTTCTGGAAGATTTAAAAATCCATCATGTTCCGACAGATTGAAGGATTCTTCTTCACCGTTGCCTCCAAAGAAAGACATTGTTGAAAAAGAAAAAGTAAACAAAGTATTTGCGGAAGGAGAGCTAGTGAGTGTGGATAAGTTCTCCACAAACCATTAGATTTTTTTAGTGAATGTTCGGAGAAGATTAAAAAGTAAATACAAGAAGATCTTAAGTTTTGAAATTGAGGTGGAGACGGATAGACATAAATAAATACAAGCCGAGCGTAAGCGAACTTAATACAGCCAAGCGTTGGCCCTCCCCAAAACATAGAATTCATCTCAAAGAAAAATTGATGGAATGGAATTGAGAAGCAAATAATGTGCTTACTATTTCAAGCTTTGCCTAGATGTTGAACTTATTTGAGATGATTGGTTTACACGAAAAGTTCAACTCATTTTCTTCATTTGTATTCCCAAATTTGGAACATCAATACTTACTAACGTTATACTCAGAATATACCATATCATTTTAACTCAACAGTACACTCCAAACTATTTAAACCATCAAACTCGGAATTTCATCACTGAGTTAAAACATGAGCTTTTTTTTTTGAAAGATTAATATATTTGTTCCTTTCATTATACTGTACGTATGAAAAGCTCCACTCAAAACTCCTGATGCACAACCTATACAAGAAAACAAAAGGCCACAGCTAACCACCATTGAAGCTGGCTTCCAGTTCATTGACTTGTAGGAAAGCATCTCTGCAATACCCTCGTCCGTCATGTTGCCTAGCAACTCTTGTTGTGACTGGATATGGTTCAGGTGACCCCCGTCTTTCCCTTGCCGAAACTGCGATAGAACATGGCCCTGTATATGCTGATATTGTATTTTCACAAGTTGGAATGGAGCATGGATTTATCAGGGCGTGGGACGTAGTCTCCCATCTTCTTTGCCCTCTGTTGACGTGGCAAGTTGTCTGGCACATAGAAAGGTTCAACTTGCACCTGTGCGCCTCAATCTCGTCGAGTGTGGTACGCATTTTTTTCTCTTTCGGTAAGTCGTGGAAAGTTAGGAAACGGTCCCGTGGAGAAATTTCTAGTATTTAGCCTGGGGAATTGTCCAGAATGTTGCATGAAACCCAAGAGATGAAGATCCATGGGAAAGTGAACAGTTAGGGAAGTTGAATCCCCGAAATAGTGGTGAACAATAGAATTTCGTTGCTTACTCTATACATAGACCAAAAATGTGCCCTTTCTCTTCGGTATCTCTCTCGTTCCTTCTTATGCCTTTCGATCATCTCCTTGAGGTTCTTTCGGTCCTCCGCTATTTCCTCAACTCTATACTGTTTTACTCGCATAGTCCGTCTGACAGACGTCTTGGAGGTTTCTGTGTTTATAAAATGAAGCAAAGGCTTATTGACACCAATTTTGGAATGTACATTACCTAATCGAGATAATTAGTGATGGAAATGCTAACCGTTTATTTTTGTAATTCCGATCGATGATATTCAGTTCTTAGTTGAATTTTTGATCCTGGGTTCTTAAAGTGAACCCACACACAGGTGACACAGACTCATGACCATCCCCATGAGACTCACCGTATAATCGCTTTACTAGCTCTAGCTGAATATCTCCAACCAGGATCGCCATGATAGATCCATACAGAACCCTTCCTTCTCGCAACCTGGCTATAATAGTAGAATCTAAAACTAATATTTTAATCAATCGAGCATCTGCCAGCCAGCACTAGTGTTTGAATTTAACATTTAGCTTTGAGGGAAGCCTGGATTCGGGCTTGTTGGAATATTAATCAAGGTTTTAATTATATATTATCACAGACTGTTATTGAAATCATGACGTACCGTGAATAATAACATTGAAGACTTTAAACTTTATTATAGTGTAGTAATAGAGAATGATTATACAAAGAGAGCCTCTACTTAACTTTGCATTTATAAAAGTGTTTTGATAGAGATACATGCACCCGTCACAGAGCCAGGAAGATTAGGTTTCGAGCCCTATTAGGGTGATTTAGGTACATGTCTACAAAGAAGTAAAGAATGATATTATTTACCACACCATCTTTCTTCTTCTGCTTCTACTTTTTGCAATTGCAATTTCCATACTAAGATTACATCGAAAAATCTTCAGGAACATGAATTGCCACCTCAATATTCTCATATTTTACTTAAACAGAAAAGATCGAATATAGTAGGAATAGCAAAAATAGTCGATTAACTGACTACATTTCACCAATGATCACTTAAGTTACATACATACTACTGTAATTATTCATCCAGCTAAAATGACAAGCAGGTAGAATTCCTCATTACCCGATATAAGAAAAAGCACCAAATTATTATTCTATCTCTCAAAGTACTCACCGCGTCTTTCATAACAGCACTTCTTCAACCCGAGTTAATTCGACTCTCTTAAAAGAACAGGGAAAATAAATAAAATATGCTTTGCGTGTCCTTGTAAAGTATTAATTATATTAACCTAACCTTAACCAAACAAAATCACAATCCCTCAAACACCGCACCCATTATAAATCCACCGATTCCTCTAAAACAACAAAACCCATCTCTGCCTACCTAGGTAGGTATCTAAGAATTCCCTTCCACTCATACAAACACCTTTCCCTCTCATCTCATCACATAAACAAACCCCCCGCCTGCCAATCTCCCAAAATCTCCTACATTTCACACATTTCACTCCTATACCTAACAAACACCGTCCCAAACACTCTCCTCCCCACCAACAACCTCTTCTTTACTTTCCTCCCCCAATCCCACAGTATCTATCGTCTTACATACATACAGAATGTACATCTTGTTCTTTCCTCATCAAACCAAAATCCAGATTCATCTGCATATTTTCTCCAAGGTGATTTTTCATAAAAACCGTTTTGTCTGATTCGTGAGTGTCGAGTTGTGGTGGAGGAGGGGGGAAAATTGTTTTGCTTGGTTCGGTGGTGATTTTGATGGGGATTGTGGTTTCTGGGGTCGTGGTTGTTTTGTTTATTTTCTTCTTCTGATGATTAGGTAAGACAATTTTAGTATATGTATATGTATCTTAGATCAACGAGCGAATTCCGGTGACTTACTTACATTGTATTGAGTATCTGGATGGATGGATAATAGGTTTCTTTTTTTTAACATGGTTACTACTCTTATCATCAAGTGGGTGTATGAAACTTTTGTCGTGAGTTGCTTTTTTGATTTTGGATCTGTGGTTGTTTATTTATGATATTCTGACGGATTTAAAGGGGAGGAAGATGAATTATTATCTTCAGAACTGTATGATTATTCAAGCTCAAAATACTGAATGGCCGCAAAAGATAACGCTGTGTTTATATTTAATTGGTCCTCTCTCTATCTTGAGGGAAGCTACAACTTTCATCTTACAATACAAACCATATTTATTGTAGGAAGCCTCGATTATAGCATGATGCAGCTCAATAGCTATCTAGTCGGAACTAGATCGATATCTTCAATGCTCGGACTTTCTATGAATAATCTAGAAGGATTATTAGAATTCTTAAAGGAGACAGATTATTGGGATATTTAAGAAACTCCATAGATTTTACTAGATCCGTCTTAATTTATTTACCTTTAACTGCTAGATCAAGTCAAAAAAAGACTAGAGAACATTTGCCAACCTCACTTAAAAGTGACATAGTATTCGAGCACATCTACATATAAATGCACATGACTCTACATCTATTATCTTTCCTTTCTGAATCCTTCGAGTTTTACCGAAACAACTTACAAAATAATTCAGAAGACTTAATTATGATACTCGCAAGTAAGATATCAAGATTAAATACTGTAAGAAAGTTGGAATTATAGATCAAATATATAAAGGTTTTTAATCAATCAATTATATAAACTTTTATAATTAGATATAAAAGAAAAGCTTTTATTTTTCCTTTTTATAATAATCAATCTTTTATATATATATATTTGAACTTATATAATATTAATCTTAAAAAGTATTATAAACCTCATTTTCTTTATAAGTAACATATTATAATATAATCTAATTCAGTTTTCTCTTTCAATTCCCCTTCACAATATGCTATCGGGACACACATATCTCGACCTACCACTTTTACAATACTTAATCAAGTCCTGGATATATAAAGATGATGAGGATATTGCTATCAAAAAAGAAGCCATCATAGTATCTAATCACATCCACAAAGTAATCTTCATTTAACCACAATATGAAAAACCCACAAATATTATATAATTACTCACCAGCTTATCAGACAACCACAACTGTTCTCCTATCCTATTGTCTGGCTTCAGGATACTGTAGAGATTCCCCCCCAAAAAAAATACAAAAATTCAATGAGGAAGAAACCAGCTGTAGATCTACTTATATCTTGTAATTATATTCCATGAACGCGCATAACTTTTTGGATTAGATTTTAGGGTTAGATCAAATCCAAATCCAAAATCTTATGATTTTATGAATGGATATGGATATTTGTACATGGGAGATAGTTTGACAGGAAAATTTTAAACTAGGTTATAGTTTCAATACAGCTAGCTGTAGTATTATTAGATGTTGAAATCATGTGCGCAGTTCTCAATAAAGTGTATGTTGTAAGATTTCGAAGCCTACAATATATAGAATATGATTGTCTCCCATCCGAATGTGCTGGGACTGAAGACGGCAAACATCACTTCATGGTCAAAAGACAAAGCTGTTGGATATCACAATATATGAGCCAAGACAAGAATTTTAAAATCGCTGATGAATTGATATAATCTCACTATCTACATATGCAACTAAGAAGTGAAGACAGAAACTCAACAACGCCGACCTAAAGTCCCATACATGAAGCAGCAGCGCGCGCTGTTCTTCTAAGAGAAAACCATTGTCTATATTGATCCCAGGGCATCCTAACTCCGGAAACCGTATCAAGGGCCTGCTTAGAATATGACAAGCAATAGCGAAGATTAGAACTACCCGGCCTAGGTTTCCTAAGATTCTCATTCCCGACCACACGACTCTGAAGTTTCCATTCCCCTCGTGTCATATCTGCGTATGAAAGTTCTATACCGAGATTACTGTATTCTCTTTTATGCAATGCGAACCTGAGCCCGTTTATTGAGCTGGAACGTTGTGTGCGATTTCGTCTTCGCCGCGCTTTGTTGGATTTTTGATCATTCTTAAAACGACTGACCCAACTTTTGCAAGGTACTCCGGACTCTAAAGTACTGGTGGAATGACTGGGATATGAATTATGGTATGCTCCACTATCGCTAATGTTTCTAGAGGTACCGGATCCTCCACCTCGAATTTTAGTTGCTGCTTGCTCCGATGACTGCTTGGTTTGGTTCTTTATCAATTAGCTTTGTTAGTGTTATCCATAAGAGTGAATGACTGGTAGATTCTTACCGAATGGTGCTGCATGAAATTTGAAGTGTCTGAATTTGAGCCATTATTCGACTTTGAGGTATTGTCCGAGATGAAAGTGGTATCCCAACTTGGAACAGTGTTCGAATTGGCAGTATTATCATCGCAAAAATCCGAACCATAGTCTTTCCTGCTACTTCGTGTCAAATGTAACGCCGCATTATCCAGGGTATTATCCTCATTCTCCCTTTGCCCTTCGAAAACATTAGGTTCGCGCCGCCCATCAAGTTTCTCTTCCTCGACAGAAATGGAAGTTCTCCGGCAATGATTTCTTCTAGATCGTAAACGTTGGCGTAACCATCCTTCATTTCTCCGTCTCCACTGCGCCAGAGGAGACCACCACGGCGCGTATAATTCATGCGAAGTGCTTAGACGCTGACATTGACTAGACTGACGACAGGACATTTTATCGCTGGATTGAAGAATGCTGTGGTCGGTTCAGTCGTTTATTGAATTACTCAGGTATAGAAATTTATCTCGAATATTATGCTGCTTCCAAAATGAATGTGAGATGATATCTATGAGATGACGTTGTTGTTTGGAGGAATATCGTTATTGGGATATTGCTGTTTAATATACATCTTACACATAATTTTCTACGGTTGCAAGGACGGTTTAGAACTTCTGGTTTTCCCAATACGGTGATGACCGTAAAATTGAGAGACTGGTGCCTTCCATATTTCTTCCTAATTAGGCGAGGTTAATTCATTGATAAAATTTCTTCACATTCATAGGGATGAGTAAACATATTGATAATAGTCGACATATTTTAGATGTTTTAAGGATAACATTGGACCGCAGACGTGGTTACATGGGTAAGTAAGATCTTATTTGCAATACCACTTTGGATACATTTGACTACTTATTAAGATACAAAAGTTCCCCGCTCAGCAAGAGTATCACCTACTCGCCCTCGAAAAACTTTGTCATCGACGATAAACCTCCAGTTTTTCCGCACTTAGGACACCCCTCCCCTTCAGTATAATAGTACACCAGAAGCGCGTCTCTGCCTAAAACACAAATCCATGATACACAAAGACATACACAGCGCTTATGATGTGCTCGTCTATTAGTGCCCCCAAATCAATCTCTTGGAAGCATATCCGCATACCCTCTCACCCCAGATAGTGAAATTCAAAACCAGCAATTCAATAGCCTGTATATTCCCATCCAGAACCTGCCTATAATAATTGTTGATCAAATATTAGTAATCTTACCTTACATCCACCGATCGTCCATCGCACTCCAAGTAAGATCTTACAAGACATACCTAAATAATCGCTCACAACTTCCATGACATGACATTCCTCCAACATCTACCCTAAAAATCTAGTAATAAAATTTATTGCAGATAAACTCATACGGCGAACTTCGCTAACCTCCAACAAACTAGAATGTGAGTTGTAACCAAAAATCGGGATCAAACCCTAATTAATAGCTAATCGTCACTCCTAATCACAGTACCTGTATGCACTCTCTGGCCAGAAGTTTTCGTCTTAGTTACATACCTAGCAGTTGGGTAGAAAAGGGTTTCCCATATTCTCGAACGCAGCCAGATGGTTTTTGAAACTCGTGGTAGCGTGATGAGATGCTGCGTCATTCAATAAGCTTAAGAGGAGGGAAGATATCTAGAAGTGAAATAAGCGAGATAAAGTGGGTCCATTAGATGGATTGACATCTGGCTAATACAAAAGATGACCTCGAGATACACATGAACACCGATAAAAAACAATCAGATGAGCCTCCACATAACCTAATATATGTACCAATGAAACTTTTTGTCAGAAGACCAAGATCCTAACCATCCATGTTCTCTGCATATTCTTCTCCGTCGGCTTCCTCCCCATCCTCCGCTCCATATTCGTTCACAGCTACTAATGTATTCTCCAAATACTCATCAAACGTATCATAAGGAGTCCAGCATTTTCTGAGAGAACTGGGTATTTTCGAGGATCGTCTCCACATCCCTGGCAATTGTCTTAATCGATGTTCTGCCATTGTAACCTCCGTGTCATGCACACGAACCTTTCTCGCGTTAATCCTAGTAGCGTGGCGGATAGTACTATCGAAGTATGCTATGGTTGCAGCCGCTGATGGCATCCCAGCACCAGGTGGGAAAAGTGACGCGAGTCTTAAGACTGGGGTTGGAGGTGGTAAGTACGAGGGAGGTGATGAAGGTGATTGTAATGGAGGTGATGGTTGGGTTTCTCTCAATGAGTCTGCCATGTCGATCTCATCGTCGTCGCTATATTCTGATGGCGATATCTCTCCATCTTCGGAAAGATGCTCGGAATACTCCTGCTCAGAATATTCTCCATCGTGGTTTGATTCGGAATTGTCCTTGTTGTTGCTGCCAGGTCCATTGTTGCCTAATAATTCGATACCCAAGCCACTTTCAAGATCGACATCCATCGTAGTACGGTCGTGAGTTTCCGAATTGTAATCCTCAGTCTGTTCCACCTGCCCTAAAAAATGGGTTTCACTTATGCCCAAAACCTGATTTTCTGTATTGCCAGCATCGGATTTTGCTTCGGATTCCCAATCACTAAGTGGTGCGTCGGTGAAAAACGAAGGGTCAAGAAGAGGATTTACATTTGACATTTTCAAAAGGTAAATTATTGTATTGCTTGAGTGTGTCGTTCTATTATCTCGAACTGGTACCCTTGGGGCTCTGTGGAAGCAATCCAATCAGTATCATAACAACATAAAATCTTTATTGAACCTGCTTCGTACCTTCTAATCTCTTCTCTTTGTGATGGGCTCTGTAGCTTTTTGACTCTGGAAGCTGGTAGATATCAGATAGTCATAAAAGTGATTAATGTGTGAATAACTGTGCGACACGTTTTCGAAGCCTCTCGCTTGCTATTGAAGTGAATATTTGTAAGTACTGCCTCCCATCTGATGTCCTGTCTGTTATTAATATATACGAAATCTTGTCCATTATAGATAAAATTGTTGCTATAATAGTCTTGTTCTCCAGCAAGATTCTATGAAAGAAACAAAATAAAAATTCGTCTTGCCATAGACAACATTGGCTATTAAAATTCCGTAGTCCTCGAATAATCTGTATTAACTGCTCTTGTGAAGAATATAATAGGATGAAAGATGAAAGGTGGAACTTTGAAGTCGATTATTACTTTGAAAACAGGGAAAGAATGATGAAGTGAAAGGAAGTGAAGTTTGTAGTTTGCGAGTGCCTATTCCACCACCCCAGTCTTCACAATCCACCATATCACCATATCACCATATCACCATATCCTAAAACAAAACCTCCAACGCGAATTTGTGCTCTCTACCACTGTCCATTTTCCAACATAACTTTTCCAAAATAATCATCTCCCTAATAAAATCATGCCGAAACATTTCCTACTCCACCGCACCACAAACTCCACTCCCCAAACCTTCCATATAGTTCAAGACACAAGCTCCTACTTCTCAAAATAAGTTTGCGACCATCGGAGTCCACTCAATTCCTTGCATCGATATTTCAATCGCTTCTCAGCAACACTCGGTTCTCGAATCCGGATTTCGATACCCCGACGTCGAAGTGTTCTCTTGCGAGCTTGCCATGAATCATATGCACGACCATTATATGCGAAACGTGTGGGAGCAAGAGGTGCTGATGGGAGAGGTGTTCTGCCAGTTTTCTTGGAGATCGAAGCTTGATTTTGGTCGATGTCCTTGTTCTTTGGTGGAGATGGGGTAGGGTTTGAAGGTTTCTCCGCAGCTTGGATGGCGAAACAGGCGCTATATTCCTTTATGGGTATGGGAAGTATGGATTTTGTTTTGATGGAGTTGATTTGGTCCATTTTTTGATTTGGTTTTGACTTCTGATTGTATTTTGTGTTCTCTTTGATAGTTTCATGGAAAGTAACAATCTGCAATGGGCCTCTGTCAATATATATTCTCAGTAACTCACGATGTCACAGAGTTAGCCACTCACTTCTTTTACGCAGCTCATAAATAAGTCGGGGCTATTCTTTATTAGAATGCCACTATTCCACAAGTTCATGACTTTAAATTCAAACCCCGATGCCCAGTTTAAACTAGTTTTCTCCATCGCGCCAATTATTGGATTTGGCCAGAATGATGTGGAAATTTTCCGTTTGAGTTTCTGAAGTTAAAGTTTAGTTTTTCTTTCCTTTCTGACATGCAAACAGTTTTCTGTCAAACCTGAAATTTAAAAGGGATAGTGGAACAAAAAGATGTGCATGATCTTCAATAATTCACTCTCTTTCCGTCAAGTGTCAAGATTACCTTTTTTGGGAGAACAGGAGGTACTCAGTATTTCAAGATTTAAAGCCTCACTACAAGGTGGGATGGCACAAAAAATGATGATATACTAATGACACTAAAGCACCCAACTTAATCCAGCTACTTTTCAATCATATATTTCGAAGTCGAAATTTTCATTTGGTCATACGCTTATATTCAAAACTAACAAATCGCTGGAACCCGGTATCCTTGATGGATAAAGAGGTGGTGGACCTGAGTCTCCCAATTATTATTTAAATTTCCAAACTCTACCCGAGATGGATCCAAAGTTACATAAAATGCCATCTCAAAGGTCCAAAAAGCTCAAACTCTATCTGCACGACCAATTATATTGGCGGAACTAATTTGACCGCCTTCAAAGATGTCTGGAATCTCCATTTTCGCTTTTCGTAACAACCCCCAACAAGTAATCGGCGCGCTCTCAACGGTATCCTTCATCGCTGCCGCTTCTTCTCCGGAAGATCTGAAAGTCGGAAGTAGTGCCCATATCCCGCTACAGCGACGTTCAATCTCCCTTCGCTTTTCCACATCTTCCCGTCGCCCCGCCTCAGAACGTGACATCTCCGTCCACGTTCTTCTGCGGAACGATTTACCTAGTTTTGCTGGATCAATCGGGTCTCTCAATGGCTCACGATGTGTTATCTTCTTATTTTCCAAAATACTTGGTCTCGCAGCCTCTAATTTCGACATCGGAGACCAACTATTCCTACGAACACGTTGACGAACCATTGTTGCCTCCCTCGTGATTTCAATTGGCTCGCTCTTCCTCCTCCTTCCCAAAGCATCCTTCACAAAGTAATCCTCATCAACAAATTCAGATGTGAGGTAAGGTAAACCCCTAAATTTGAGCACCTCCATCGTCACGTTTCTCATTGGCATTTCAAATTCACGCGCAGTATCAAAAACGAAGATTCGCAGGAGCTGTCCGCGGGTGATTCTATCCATCCTTTCATTTATCCTTTTCTCATACGTGGCAAGTTCTTCGGAGATTTTCAACTCGTATACGTATCCGAATGCTTTATCTGCAGAATCTGAGGTTGTGTGTTTGTTGCTGGCTGTGTTCCCGGTGGGTAAAGTCATGATTGCAATTTGTTTGGTTCCTATTGTTGCTGGAATTTAGATAACTTCTCGAGGCTTTATAATGTTGGTATGTATATTTGAGAGTTTAATTTGTATTAAGATTATTCTTAAAGTATTCAGGAAGATGGAATGGGTAAAGTGTTATGAATGTCGACATATATCGAAGTGGACGATCTTGGGGGAAAAGAGATTCTTTAAATACTAAGTACTGGTTTGGGTCGGGGAGCTAAAGAGTCCTAGTTCCAGTAGTATCTATATTAGTACAGCATGGTATATTCTCCAAGGCATCTTGAGTATCGTAATTTACCATACTATTAGCAAACTAATGACTTCTAGTTCCAGTACTATCTATATTCGTCTGATATAGTAGAATTAATTAGTCGCCAAAACAGCTTGAATACCAAAACTTACCTTTCTTCCTACACCTCAAATAGAATAGGTATAATGAACCGATTCATTGGTACTATTCTCTTTACATCGGTATAGAATAAATTAGGTCATTATCCAGTTGTATATTTGCTTACTTCCAGAAGATACTCCTATTCCAGAAATAAATGTAGGCTAACAACGATATCTAGCTTCAATCTCATAAATTTCCAAAATGAGCAGTGTATAAGAATATAAGATATATTCGTTAAGGAGACTATCTAGTAATAAAAAAAAATTAAAAAAATTATGAATCCTCGAAAGAATAGAATAGAATAATGTAGAAATATATCTTCATCACTTTATCCCTTTATCTTCTTTCATTTTATTATCTACCTCCTGATTAATTATCTACTTCTACAGTGATTCTATCAGTATATGGTTTTTATTCTCAATTATCTATTATTTATTTATTATAAAAGATCTTATATATAAGATCTTAATATTCTTATTCTTATAATTAATCAATTAACCGAGGATAATTATCGATGTAAGACTAGAAGATTGGCGATAACTTTTAACTGAACTGAACTGCGGTTTATGGTTGATGATCTACTAGGGGTTAAGTAGTAGTAGTAGTAGTAGTAGTAGTAGTCAAAAGCCGGTATGGCCATTACACTTTTAGATACACGCTTGTGTCTAGGAAGTAAATTCAGTGGATTATTGCTTTATTACGAAGGTAACAAATATCAGGATAAAAGTATGAGAGCTTCTACAGAACATGGTTTTATTATTTCCCCATACCTCTCTCTGCATTACATGTCACGGATCAGGCGGCTAATATTACAAATTCATCAAAATTTCACTAATCATTGTGATATCACGATCATGATCTCTGGTATATTTAATTTTTTAAATTAATTATTACTTTTCTTTCCTCCAATACCAAAGCCTTGTTTTTGAATTTCAAATCACGACAAAAGTTGTCAGATATCTTCTCTCCATGAAACTGACGCGGACTAGATATTAGTAGAAGTAGGTAACGGGTTGCAGACCCACGACCAGTCACAGAAAGAAGATATTAACGTATGATAACGCATCTTTTAGCCAAATTTTAGTCATCCAATCTAAACCAACTATATACTCGCGCAACCTTATCCACCCACATTTATACTGACTGCCAACTCCCTGGTATTATAATATGCGGACGCCAAGCTCGTTCAAATGGTCTGCAAGCAGTCATTGCTCGCCAAAACCCCGGCTGAGCTGCAGTAACCGCCCCAGCTGGACATGGTGGCTTTTCAACTCCATTCAAGCCATTGATCGTATTTGTTGTATCAATTTCGACGAAAGTAAAGTCGGATGCACAGGAACAAGGGCTTTTGGATGGTTCAATCGGCGAGATTGTGTCCTTAGCTTCCTCCACATCTCCTCCGGTATCGAAATCCTCATTAAACATCAACATGAAGCTATCCCCATGGTCAAAATTGCTCCCGTCATCTTCGAAGTATATACGAGTGTCTGAGTCTTTTTTTGGGACCATCACCATCTCGTTGGCATTTTGTGCGCGGTTTTGAGTCTCTTCACTATCGTTAGCAATTTTTTCCTTAGAAATTCCGCAACACATTGGACAACCTTTAAATTCCACTTGGACTCCAGTGTTTTCTTCTGGCAGATTTCCTCCGAACCAATCATCATAAAACTCAAGCGGATCCCCATCTGCCTCGACTGTGCAGCCGTCTTCCTCCGATTCTTCTTTGTTTTCATCGACAGCCTCGTCACAGTTCACATCGCTCATACCGTTCTCATATTTCGAGATCCCTAAGAGTGAAGCGCGAGATGCCTTTAGCTGTTGTTGCTTTTCCTTTTTCTTCTCTGCTGCAATAACTCTTGCGCCTTCATGGGTATACTGTATATTGCGATTTTGATTAGCATGCGACGGCGCAAAACAACGAGCTATCAACAAATTTCTGGATAATTTACTTACGGGACAAGGTTTAATTGGTGGTGAATCTCCCCAGAAATCATACTCTTCATCAGGATCACCGAAATGTCGAAGTTCATTCTCTAGACCACCGACAAGAACAGCGCCATCATAGTCGGTATTTATTACTGATCGCCATCCAATAGCACGCCATACTTGAGATGATAACATGATGAGAATATGTCTTTGTGTGATTGAAATAAGCTGTTAAGTTTTTGTGCTTTGGTTAACTTTTTATAGATGTTAGTTAGATGGAGGAACTGCTTTCTTTTGAATGGTTGGGGAGCTGGGAAGTTTAAAGAAATATCTTATACGTATGAGATCGTTTTGAAAAAAAACCGTAAACATGTTTGTTATTGATGCGCAGGTTATGTTATGTTTGATGTGATATTGAATAGTGAATACGGTCAAGTTACTGCCGTAGGAAATTTTGCGTACTTTTTGGAAAGAATATACTCGATTAGGTGAATCACAATTCGCAGCATTCACTCTCAATACAGAAGGAACGGATGAGAACATGGTGTGTTTTGATTACGCTGCTATCTTAATAACCTCAATACTCATCGGACTATAGTAAACTGTTCACTTGTAACTTGACAATCTTAAAATTTAGATCAAATTACATGACTTTTAATTAAAAATTTAAATAATTTGATTTTTATATAAAAGATTTTTACAATAAATTTCAAAACTTGAAAAATCATTCATTGAATTATAATTATTTTAAATTAAAAATTTGATTTTTGTTGATCTTGTTTATAATTTTCTAAATAAATATTTAATTAAATTTCTTTTATTATTTTTATATTCAAATTATATAATATAAAAGTTTATTAAAATAGATCTTAAAATTTCAATTCTTATTTTAAATCAAGTTATCAATATATAAAAATTGAAATATTTTTTAGTTATTATTATAATTAATTATTCTTTAAAGTAATTAATTTTTGATATAAAAAAAGCTTATGATCAAGTATAAGTCATCTACTACTATAATTTGCTTTAGCTGCCGTCACCAATTTTTTAAAATTCCATCATTCTATTCTTGCATCTCTACATCGCTACTTCCTAGCTCAAAAAAACCAGTATTTTGATCCTTTGACTGACCAGAAACACTTGACTAAAATTCTTCCCCAAATACTACTGAGAATTCACTGTGCTAAAAAAAAAGTAAAATTATGATCATTCATCATCTGTTGTTTATATCCTAATTCTTATCTTCCATTTCCTCCTCGCGAATAACCGTTTGGCAACATCGTAGACTTGATGGTGCCCACTTCCAAGTTTTTGGCCCCTGCGGGAGCAGAATAGTTAGTAAGCAGTAATTCATGAAGAGAAAACTGAGAAAGGCATAGGATAATAAAGGTGTATTATGAAATTAGACGATACAGAATATGAAAGGAGAAGGAATTTAGGAGCCAGAACTATGGAATCAGAAAACATGGCATGCTTACCCAACCACGATAGAATGTCTTTGGCGGATGAGCACCATATTCGCAGATTTTAACTTTCGCAAATGTCTCTTGAATGCAAATCACGTCTTTTCCCATCAATGGATGGTCGATGCGAAAGTCTTCTTCGTCATCTTCAGTCTGCAAGCTATAATTCGAGCCGTGACTCCAGAAGACTGAGCTGCTAAGGTCGGGACTGTTTTGGACTGAGTTAAGTTCTGAGCTACGACTGTCCAAATGGGCTGGTGGATGATTCTTGTAATTCTCGCAAGTTTCGACGCTGCTTGTGGTGCCATTCTGATCCTCGTCCCGTGATTTCTCGTTATGCTCTTCCTTTTCCAACTCAATATCGAAAAAGGTACCAGCATCAGAACCTGGAATAGAAGAAAGGAATGTGCTAGGGATATTTATTTCAATGTATTTTTCTAATGCGTTGGTGTTGAATGCGAGTATTTCGTCGGAAGAAATCACCCCATCATCTCCCTCGTTATTTGACATCATCCCGGCTTTCGAATCGTAATGGTATGAGTCAAAAATGTATTCTTCGTCCAAGTATTCGAGATCCTATTAAGAAACGATTAGATATGCACCAGCAAATATTGAGAAAAATTCTTACCCCGTAATTTGTGAAATCAGGTGGAAGTGCTTCCGCGTCTTTCATCTCTAAATCGTGATCTAGTCGAGAGGTATCAACATCGTAACTAGTAGAAATAATATCGTTGGAAAACTGCTCTTCAAAATCGTCGTTGACTTCGTCTACATAGGATTTGGTCATCGGTGATAGTAGGTTCGCTAAAGACATGATGGAACGATTTTCTGGTGTGAATTAGGGGTATCGGCAGATATGTAGCTTAGCTATGTATAATGCTACCTTTTTAGATATAAATATTTTATTATTGTATGTTGATAATTGAGTTGGTTGACGGAAATTTTTACGGTTATAGGGAGTCGTATGAGGAAGCAAAATTTGACTAGACAGTACTTTGGAAGTGTGGTTAAGTTTGGAAAATTGGTGGTTGAAAGAAATTGAAGGTGTGATGGTGAATTACTTGAGGTGATTGTATCTGTTGATTCACGGTGTTAGATACGTTAAGTATGTGTACATTGTATAAATCCATGCGAGGTTGGCGCGACGATGTTCAACCGTACACGCCGTGGCCATACTCGTTGAGTACGCTATTTTTCCTGTAGTGTGATCGTATGAGCAGGAGGTATACGGGCTTTTATTTATTACTCCGTAACCAAGATTCAGTGAGCAAACAAAACCGTACTTGCGCGATGATAGGGAGACAGAGAGGTCTTTTATGATTCAGAAAATGAATTTCAAGAATGACGCAACATAGACTATTTGTCCAAGCTAATGAATGTTATATTCCCCTAAAAGCTTTCTATGGAATACCAGACCGTGGTTTTGTTGAATCACAGTAGGAACCCATGAACACTCCAAGGCCCAAAAGAACTCGTACTCTCTATACAAACAAATCCTCCCAGATGTGGCCTATAAGATGCACAATCCTTTTGATACCATTTATCAATCCCATATATCTATTTTCTTTGACAAAATCTCCTCCCGGTATCCTTGCTAGCGAGTGTATGCGCCGTCCTGTCTCTAGGAAAACATGGCTATATTCAAAGGGCTCTTCCTCTTGACTCTCCATTTTCCCCGGCTGGGCCACAACTTCGCTTCCTTCTTCCTCTTCTCCTTTGCCTCATCGTCAGTGATCTGCTGTTCTGTTAGCATTTATATCTGTAACAATTATCTGCCATAATAAACCTACATCATCTCTTGCTGCTAACTCCTTGCCCATATTTTGCATTCCCAACTTTTTATAGATCATTTCGCCGACATTGGCTCGGAGTTCTGCAATTTCATTGAGTATACTGAAAGGGACTTTGTAACTACCCGCGAATTCTGGTAGCTCGCCGGCGGCAATCTGCAGAGCTCCTGTCAGTGTTCTGATTTGGGTATGGTGAGGAACTACTTGCAGGATTTTGAAGCAAGGAAAGAAGAAAGGTGATAGAACCGGGGGAAAATTGGGGAGAGGTTAATAGCTTACTGCATCATCTGTATCATCTGCCCAATTAAATGACATGCCTACTATCTGTCTTCTGCTCTAGATAAATGAATGTCGATATTTGCAGAATCAAGATAGCTATACTTTGATAATATTGCAGTATTAGTCGAGCAGCGAAAGTGATATATCATTAAGGCAAAGGGACAGAGAAAAAAACAAACTCGAGATCACATTTTGTTTGTGCCCCGCCTAGCCCTTAACTGCTAAAATAGTACGATCCGACGGATCTACTTGATGTCACTGATCATTCGTTAATTTAGGCCTAGGGGAGTATTAAGGGGCTAGGCAATATCTAGTACATTCGCAGTGCTATTTGCAGCTCCTCGTTTGTAGGTCTTAGCGATACACTAACAGACGGGGTATCTGTTTTAGCAACATGATAGTATAGAGCTTGTTGGATAATATCACATATTGATCCTCGATTGCTTCAAGGGACCTTTGATTTCACTAAAATTTATTAGGGTGCCATCGGTGTAAGAATAAGCCAGGTTTTTAAAGGGAAAACCACACATAAACGGATTTTATGTGTTTCGGCAAATAGCTGTATATGGCTGCCATAATCTATCACTACGATAGAAGTATTTTGGAATACTCTGCGACCGCCACTGTCATTTTCTTTGCATAGCTTGACTTTTTTCTCCTTCCGGACATATATCTGTTTTCACTGATCTGAGCATTCATAGATCTAAAACTACACATTACATTGCAACTTTATCTTTCCTGCATTCAATAGACTTCTGGTAAAAAAAATGAGTTCTCGTTTTCTACCGTGGATTTATCAACTTTCCAACTCTGCTTCCTAACCGGTTTAAGCCAGGTGTTCTTAGAAATACATGCATCATGTTTAAGGGCTGCGAATTTTGAGGTAATTCTGGGTGAGGACTTGGATGCAAAGGATTGAGGTGGAAGGGTGATTTAGGATATGTTGAGCTTTTGGGAGTTATTATTGCTTTTTGAATGTTTTGCATTTTTATCACTGAATGGTTTTTTTGTAGGTTAATTGCTGTTTAAATTTCCGGTTTGAGATGGCAGTTTATATCCTACCAATATGACGTCCAGTCGAATATGTTCTATTTCTACTCAAAGGTCACTCGTCTATCACAATGTAATCCGGAGTGCGCGGATAGGGCCGGGGATCGTGGGTTTTTGCTGGATGATATTTTGGGGCAGTGGTAAGATGTTGGAGTAATAGTGGCTTTTGCAAAGAGAACCGCCTTAGAATTGTTTTAGCATATTACCTTGTTTTAGAATCGGTCGATCGTCTAAGGTCTTCGGAATAGGGCTCTAGGATTTTTTGTTTTTTTAACGGCAAGTTCCAGATAACCTAAATCTTGTAAAATTACCTAGCGGAATTACAGCGAAATGTAGAGCGGAATAAGAGATATCATTGATAAACTAAATGCTCAAGAACAAAAGAAGCTCGAGTCAAAATGTTTCTCGAACATTCAGAGGAATCCGACCAGACAAAGTATTCCGCAGGCACATTATTACATGCAATGGCATCACCAGCTTTGTTAATTTTCCTTCATACTAAAAGTTGAAAGAATCATGGAGAATAAACTCTAATCTGGTGTTAAGCTTTTTTGTGAGATCTCCATCCCGAATACTGCTTACTTTCCCACATTGAGCTTAGTCGTTCGAGTTAGTAGATAGAATGTTCTTCCATACTCTGGCATTTCGTACCTTGAAGTAACCTTCTTTGGGATGGCTGTTTTACTCTTTGTCTCCATTTTCATCATGATTGGCTGGTTTAGCGATTTTGTGTTTCTTTACAGAATTTTAGAAAGGGGTTTCTATTTAGTGCCTTGCCTAACTTCACTTCTCCAGAAGATCTTTAAAGCGGAATGGCATCTCCCGAATGCCAAATAGTGAGAATTGTAGCATGACGAGTATAGCTTGTGATCAATATCATTGACTCCTATTCTTTATTCTTTCGCTATGATTTAACTTACAAGAGGATTCGAAAGTTACTGATCTTTGCTACCGCCTAGTGGTACATTTTATTCCTTTACGAGCAGTCGTCTGAAAAAGGGTTTGCTATATTTTTTCCTTTTCGCAACGAAAAGATCATTCATTTTAAGTTCACACAACTTTAGCAGTGCCTGTCTTCTCAACAACTAGCCAATATGGCGCCGATCACTTTCAACTTCAAGCTACTACTTGGACGTGCAGAAGGAACTCCTTCACACCCTACTCTCTCTGTTGAGCATCTTCCACCATCAGTTCTTGAACAAATCGGAGTACAACAGCCTCCGCCAGGTATCAAGGCTAATTTCGTTGATCCCGAAAGCATAGGAGGTGTACTTCTAGCTTTCTCAATTATCGGAATTGTCATCATGTCAATATGTGTTGCTATTAGAGGATGGGTAATATTCAAACTCATACGGCCTATAAAGTGGGCCTGGAGCGATACTGTTTTCACGGTCGCTGTACTCGCTGCATTGGCAATGTTCATCGACTTGATAGTAAGCACACAATCTTTTCGTTCCCAGCCCCGTATATCTAAACATTCTCTCATATACAGTCACCACTTTTCCAAGACAAACTTTCCTGAAAGTACTTACTGACTGTGACTGGTATTTTAGTTGACCGTTACCGGTAAAGGGCAGATCGGTATTCATCAGTGGAACGTCCAAGTATCTAGTATCGTCTTATCAAGCAGATTTTTCAAAACCGCTGCAGTCATTAGCCTTCTTACTCCTATATGTCTTGGTCTAATCAAAATCACCATTTTTTTAACGTACATCGAAATATTCTCTCGACTAAGGTGGATCAAAATATCATGCTGGGTTGGTATCGTAATCACTTCGATATTCTATCTGATAGTTATGTCCTGCGCCATCTTTTGGTCATTCCCACATATAGGAGAAACATTTGTCGAGCATTACTTGAAAGCTGTGGGGGCAATTAAATCCCAAGAACTCAGTATACCGACGGCTTCGGTGGGACTAACAATTGACGTATATCTTTTCCTTATTCCTGCGCTCGCGGTTAGTGGGCTTAAAATGCAGCGGAAAAAGAAAGTGGCTGTCATGCTCATTTTCACAACTGGATTCCTGTAGGTTTCTCTTTCTCCATCTCCGAGTCAGTTCCTCCGTCCCGAATAAATTATCGAGAAATCCCGCGGAGCCATTTATTGACAATATGCAGTGCCATTATAGCCTCAATTCTAAGCATCATATACCGTGTCAATATGAACAGACACATTGATCACACATGGAACTCGGTCGCTGTATGGGCACTCACTGCGGGAGAACTATGGATCGGCTTGATTATCGCCTGTACGCCACATTTTACAAAATTCTTCCGCGTATGTCAAAAAGTATTTTCCAGATTTGGATCGGTAATAAGGTATTGGCTTTGCTGTTGCTGCATGTCTTGGAAAGAAATGGACTCGAGGAGATCTGCGGCGAGGTCTAGTAAGAAATTTGAGGAGACCAGCGCGAAAAGTAGTGATAAGAGTGAGGGTTCACATTTTTCAGAGCCGGAAAAGCCGAAGAAACATGTAAATTTGTATCCGAATCTCGATATTACCACGGTAAACAGGACTCTCATCGAACAGAAGGACTGGTGAGATAGAAAGGTTTTTGAAGGGGTGGGCGAGATGCGGAAAATGGCATGGATTATGACCGCGGACGGCGCAGCTACGTTGACAGAGATAATCATGACGGGAGGCGGTTATTTTCCATCGTTTACTCTAATATTTCTTTGTTCAGTAAAGATTACCGCTTTGCCAATGATTGACCATCCATCCATTGTGATTGTGGAGTTTTACATGGAGAATTACTACTCTTGATCATGAGAGAATTTGTCATATCTGTAGATGAAGTTTTACCTCCCGGATATGTTGTTTCGGGCTGTTCTGTGCAACCCTTGATGATCTGTAAGATAGTTAAGATGAGGAGTGCGTAAGGTTGTGAAATGACCGACATATTAAGTTGTACTACGGTCATATGGTATCATGTCAACCGTAAATCCGATGGTGGTGGTCATACGAGTCATCTGATTCACTTCTTTGAATCAATTGTTTTGAAAGCATAAAATGAATTTTTTAAGAATTTAAAAATCAATATATTCAAAAAGTGTATCTTGAAAAAATGCTAAAGGTTATGATGTCGATTAGTTTTCACGTGAAACTTAGGACTGGATGCCCGCTGTTTTCGCTTATTAGCCTCGGGTCATAGAAATCCCCGAAGACCCGATAAGGTTAAGCGGAACATCTGAAGACTAATCTAGCCACCACAACTTGTTGTAAGGAGTAAGGACAAAAGATAAGAGCGCCTCATTCCATGCATAGCAAGGTATTTACGTGAAAAAGTGCTTGCTTTTGGAAACAGAGAAGAAATTCTATGACTCTATGACGATGATGCCGGAGAAGCGAATGCAAAATAGGACACATCAGCATCTCAGAACCATTGCTGACACTCCGCCTGCGTTTGTTTACATCATGGCCGCTTATGCCGAGATGAGCAATCTTATCTCCGCTCTTTGGGACTATATATAACGGTTCTGTAAGGTCAATTCCAGATGAATAGTTCATAACCCGACCTTGAATGATGTTAACCACAACCACACCCAAACTGAAAGTCCTCATCTCGGGAGCCGGCATAGCGGGACCATGCTTTGCATATTGGCTTTCTAGAACCCGGCTTAATACATCAATCAAGATCATCGAGCGGTCACCCATTCCAAGATCTACGGGGCAAGCAATTGAGATTCATGGTGCAGCTATTGAAATTGCGAAAAAGATGAAGCTAGAAGATGCTATTCGTGCGCGATTTACGACTGAAAAGGGTACAATGATGTTAAACTCGGCAGGGAAGCCATTCGCAACATTTCCAGCCGGTGATACTTTCACATCCGACTACGAAATTTTGAGGGCTGATCTGTCTGAGCTCTTCCTGGAAGCTTCGAAAACTTTTGATGGTGTTGAATATGTTTACGGTGATTTTGTCGAAACTGTTCGACAAACAGAGACAGGTGTCGATGTAACTTTCAATGGCGGCTCAAAAGACACCTTCGACTTAATTGTTGGTGCAGATGGGTCCACATCCAAGATTCGATCCATGATTTTGGACGAAGAAGTTCTCAAAAATAGTTACAAATTTATTGGCCAATACATCGCCTTCTTTAGCATCCCGAGCCAACCAAATGATTCTAAATTTTGGGAGATTTTCAGTGCACCAAAGGGTCTATGTATGATGATGCGACCACATCGAAATCCTTCTACCAAGGGCGTCTATCTATGTATCACAATGCCGAAACACGGAGTTGAAGATCCAGTGGTGGAACAAGCAATGAAGGAAGGACCTGGAGCCACGAAACTTATGCTGCATTCATACTTTGAGAATTGTGGTTGGGAGGCCAAGCAGATATTGGAGGGACTGGATAAGTCAGAGGACTTCTACATGGCCAAGGCGGCCCAAATCAAGCTACCAAAATGGACCAAAGGCCGTGCTGCAGTAATTGGAGATGCTGCAATGGCAACTTTCGGCGTTGGAACCACTTTAGCGATTGAAAGTGCTTATATACTGGCGGGAGAGTTATCGAAGGTTCAGAATAGTAATGGCATTCAAAAATCCTTGCAACGATACGAAGAGATATTTCGACCAATCTATAAGAAAATGGAAGATCTTCCGCCTGGATTTCCACAAATTGCCATGCCTCAAACTAGATTGGGTATGAGGATAAGAGATTCCATAATCTGGTTTGTTGGAAAGACGAAAGCTCATAAGCTTCTTCCAAATGATCAAGGAGGATCCGATCATAGATTGCCGGAGTATGACTGGCTAGACAACTAAAACGGCATATTGGGTGGTATTTGCGTTAAAAAGAGATGATTCTGCGCGTACTCTTTTAGCTTCTAGGTGAAGAAGTGTACTCTGGCTGAACAATAGATTAAGATTAGAATGACTACAGACCTCAAAACAAGAACAACTGATTAACAAGTCAACCAACGGCTCTCTACTTAAAACTTTAGTATATGGGCCATTTTCGGGTCTTGGTTCTTTCATTTGATATCACTTCAGACAGGACACTGGATGTGTATTAATAAAGACTCGTGACTCTGAATAATAGAAGAATCGAGGCAGGTAAAGCCCATAAGCCTTAAACCAAAGACCAGCAAATCATATCTATCAAGATAATCAACGGGAAGCATTTCCGTTCGATAATAAGTCCGTCACTGAATATCTTCACCTAACACATCTCCGCCAGCATGTTATTACCAGGACAACTTTGTTCCAATTGCCATGGTAGCGTGTTGAGTTTCTTCTGACATTTTCTGTATCTCTCCTGAGGTGGCATTCTCTAACTTCCGAATTTGTATTCTCAATTACAAAATTTGAAGACCTGGCTGGGCTATTCTCGTAGAAACAGTAGTGGCGCAGATTCGATGATAAAACTACATTTAATGATAATTACAATGGATTCATCGAGTTTAATGGAATAGGAGGGTTGTGCTCCAATCATATTAAGATCTTACATCAAACTAAGTTATTCGTATTTCTCAACATGACAGAGTGCTCAATATTTCCTGGAAATAACACCACGCCCTAGAGCTCTTTTTCAAGATTATCTACTTGGAGCTCAAGTTTGAACTAATCTGACTAAAATCGTTTTTATGCCTCTCTCTCAACTTCGTATGTCTATTCAAGCCGGATCTCGGATTGATTACTCCTTGCTTTTGCCAAGAAAATACTCGCTGTATAAGAAAGAGATCCAAGCGATTGTTTTGAACTTCACCCCTCCGAAAGTAAAAGCAAGGCTTTAAAAGCACAGTATACCTAACCTTTCAGACTGGATAACTCTACATTAGGGAAAAGAAGTTCTTGTTAGGTAGATTGTGGCGCAGGGCAAATTCTAGCCCAGGTATTGCCTCTCAACATTCATGCTAGAATTAGCATGGAGCTGGGAAAGAAAAGGAGATAGATGATAGAAAGAAATATAGCAGCAAAAACTTTGGAAGATGAGCGCTTCGAGAAGTGACAACACAAGATATTAGTATGCAAAGGGTAAAGATGGGATACATCCTGACCATCCAACCGCGTCAGCAAATGAGCCATTCTATGGATTTGAGAAGTTACAAATGCGGTTTCTAATCTACGGAGATCAACAGAAACTTGGCTCCTTGTGATAGATGCAGTATCTACGAGACTTCTTAGATCTTAGTCTCAAATAGGTTCCATTCATATCGAATTGGAGTACATACATTGATGATGCGGTACAAACTCTATGCTGTAACAAACATTGATCAGCACTCTACAATTAATTGACCCTGCATTGAATTTTTCATGCAGCAAATAGAGCCCTTTACAAGCTATGTGGGATATCAAAATCCCAACGTAGAACTTCAATAGATTCGCAAACAGCTGCATATATACAGGGCGGGAACATACTAGTATACAAGTACTTAGGTGAAGAGGGTGCCTGAGTGTAATATCTCCTAAGTGAATCAAAAACATAGATATGAGACAATAACAATCTAAAAGAAAATAAACCCAGGAGCGACAGCAAAAACCCCGAGAACAAATATCGAATATGCAACAACAGAAAATAAAATGACAAATTAGATCAAACAAAGCCGATAAATAAATTACTCATCTTCTTTACAAATATTTTTTAAGACAAAGAGATGTTATATACTTATATACGTGTGGCCACTTGTTCTTCCAACTCCCTGACATGCTGTCCCATGATGATTCTACATGCAATTAATTGATCCAACAAGACAACGCATCTATAAACCTTTTATACCTCAATATTTGCCCTCAAAGCATTTATCTGCACTTTTCGTCTAATTCTATTTTCTCCTTGGACCCTGAAATTATCTCTTGATGACTAATCCACGCCCTGAGCTAGCTACCATCTGGCGAAGGAATCCTCCTAAGCGTAGAAAGTTTTCCATATAAATCCAATGAAATTGATCAAGTGATCCTCAAGCTCCGCACACGACATGGAGAGGTACAAAAGGGACTATTTAGCAGCGCCCGGGCTTAAAAATCAAATAGTTATATATACAAGAATAAGCATAAGAAGAAGGATATCAGGACAAGACATAAGGCTCAAGAATGCAAGAAGAAATTTGAGATACCAAAACTAAAATGTAAGTCAACAACGGAAATTTGAAAAGCTGAAAAGAATGATATTTTGTAGCAACAATCGGATTTTAATCTCGGTTGATAAGAGTTCACTAGCTACCCCTAAAAACTACATCTTTAGAATCAGAGAAGATTTAGCTTTTTTATTCAAGCATCATAGCAATTCTCATATATCATGTAGCACGGGCAACCGCACTATTTGCAACCAGAAATCCAAACGAGCCATCAATTCCTGTCTGCGAATGAAAATCTAGAAGAAATAGATACAAGTGTATATAATACCACAAACTCAAGCAAGGGTCTTACGAGTTGGCACAAATCATGCATTTAGGATGGTATGAACCTAAAAGGGCGCTGAAAATAATGACAACAATATAAAATTGAGATAACGAAAAATGAAAGACAGCAGGAATCAAAACCCGCCAAATAAACAACGAAGAAACAAACATCTGAACTTCAAACCTTGGTACACCAAAAGAACATCATTGAACTCTCTTTTCTAAGCTTACAGAGTCTCAACTCCAGGCTGGCCCACCAGCATGTCGATAAGTTGGGTGGATCTGCTGTCGTTGCGCTGCAAAAAAGGTACATATCCGTAATGCGTTATATAGCCCCATTTCTATATCTTAGGGTTGGGCATTCACTTTATTCCCATTACTTCTTCTTTCCATTTAAATAGTTAGCTGGGCCGAATCATTCACTAAATTCTTAATACATCTCCCAGCCCCGCCCCAGTCTTAGTCTCGAGGGAAAAGGTAAATGATGTCTATTTAAGATACGACAGAAGAAATGGTGATACTGTAAAGTTTGATTCCGAGAAGGTTATTAACGATGGAAAAGTGGGAAAGATGGAAATTCCGGGATGTGGGATGGTACGAGACGCCTTAAAATAAACGATCAATTTGAATCTGGAATTAGGAGAAGATATAGATTGAGGTTATATGATAGATTAGAATGATAGCAATAGTGATATTGGGACGGCGAAAGTAGAGAAAATAACCTTAAGATGTGATGAGAGTAAAATAAGCAGCTTAACATTTTTGAAGACAAACTAAAATATCAAACGACATCCCAAACCATTCAATTCACATGAATTGAATGGAGTTAGTTCGTCCATGATGGGAATTTTCAAGCTTTCGCAGGCTCAAGAATCTTGGTTTGGATTCATGGTTTGACTATGGTTCCTAGCTTACATGAAAACCCCTTTAAATATCCCTCTATTTAGATCAAGATCTAGAGTTTTCTTACTTATCGATTTTCTTCAGAGGGTTGTCCTTATATTACCCAGTACGTAGTTTAATAGTAAGATCTAATTTCCTGTATCTATATCCACGGATATTTTCATAAGTAGATATCGAATGAACAACTTCTCGACTATTTTCCTCTGGGTTCATGGTTACACGCCATCCAATAGTTTGAATGAATACATCCATTTTTGATCTCATTAGAGAATTAGAACTGATGTAAATGAAACCCATATGAGATAACAAAAATGAACATAACGAGTTCACCCCTCTCCCACCGCAGAATAGATTTCTTGTTGTATAAGAAGGAATATAAGATTAAATGAGAATTCAAAAAATATATTATCATCGAATAATGACAACAATACACATAAGAGATGATCACTGACAGCGGTGAAAAAGAATCAAATAAAACTATCATTTTGAAATAACGCAAAATAGACATTAAAGAAACTTTTACTAACATCTTATCTAGCTCGTAAGAATCAGACATAAAAATCTACCTACAAGTCAAACTCCTCGTCCTGTGGTATGTTCAAAAAATCCCATTGATAATTTGTTGTTAAGTAAAGAAATTCTAACGAGCTATTCACCGTCAATTAGGATTTTTCTTTTACCTTCCATCTTCAGATGAAACTGCAGAGCAGTCGCTGGGATTGAATAATTTCCACCTTCCTTCAAGTCATCACTCAATCCAGAGCGAATAATTCTCCAGCAACACGCTCGTGCAAAATTCTTCTTTCGCTAGGTATGTGCATATAAATTAACCTTACGCAAAGAACCTCGAATATTGTTTGGTATATTTTTGGATCGGTTGGAATGGCCTTGAGGGGATTAACGCAAGAGTATAGATATTCTATATTACTCTTAGCTATAAGTTCGAGATAGTGAGATGTGTAGCAGGTGCTTGGATATCGATGGGAACGAGAGTAAGTCAGAGACGGAAAACGGTATTAGATGGGAGTGTTGTGTATGATCCGGGGGTGGCGGTAATAATGACAACAAAATAGAAATATTGATATAATATCTTAAGAGTCGTTACGACTAAAATAGCGAATACAACCAACAATACCTAGGTAATTATACTTAATTTTTAAAGTCTACAAAATCCGAATATACATTGGCAAGTTATATAATAAGATCTTTCATGATATTTTTCTCATGCTTCGCTAGTAATAACAACTAAATACTCGAGTAAACAGATACCTTTCGCTTACATCTTGCTCTCAAAAGGTGTCTCCATATCATTCACTTTCTGGGTGTGTTGCTTTATAAGGTTCAACCCCAACCACTCTGTATATTTGAGTGTTACGACAAATGGCAGCAAAGGCAATTAATGAAAATGAGATACCAGAACCAATACATACGACACCAAAAAGATGAATAGGCAGCATTAGGAGATAGGTGAAAAGTACACCCTATGATAATTTCAAAAGTGCTGAGAAAATCGCAATGTTTCGCGAGCATACGATCATTAGAACTATATACCTCACATTGTATTTCAGCTTCTCTTCCCCTCTTTCTAATGTTCCCCCTGGCATATCATATCATATCACTTGGCTATAATCTGCACACAGGGAGTGAATACATGAACATAATACTCGTATGAAAATGATCCATCCACCAGATCCCCAAACCTCTCCTCAATCACTTATAAAATTTATAAACCCCTCGCATCTAAAGCCAAGGACGGCACAAAATCCCATAGAGACATGGATGTGCAAGACAAATAGGAAAAGGTATCAGAAGACCGCCGGATACATTCTTAAATGCTGCGTATGTAAGACTCTTACAATTACGCAGCTAGATTCTAGGAGTCCTCCTACAAAAAGACCAGGACTTGTTTGAAACCTAATAATGTATGAACGACAACGAAAAGAAAATCACGAGAAACTAACAGCGACAAAATGAGAAAAACCAATGGAATTTGGGATGGAATGTAATATCAATTAACTTCGGAACCTACTAACTGCTAACTCCCACTTCGATCCATGAACCCAAAGCGACTATTTCGTATGAATGGACACATCCAGAAGTATCCCAGAGATGAAGTCGTTCTCAACGTCCTCATGTTTCATGTCTGCGTTGTTCAAAAGTTATCGAATCGATTACTTTATAGCAATAGGCTGGATTTAATCCCTTGTTGGAATTGAGGAAGGGTGGGTAAGTGAGGACTGAGAAATATATGCTGATGTGAGAGGAGTGGTATACGGATTGAAGAGATGTAAGGTATGATGAGTGCAGAACTATCTGCGAGTATAGTATATGACATATATTGTTGCTATTCAGTAAGGATAGTCAAATATGAATCTAGGCATTGAAATCTTATTGTTCTTTGGATGCCAAATCCATCAAAAGTCCCCAAGTCCACTAAAGCCGCCTCTTGCTCTCTCATTTTCAAATCATACATTCCACATCTCCCCATCCCATCCCTTCATCAAATCTCACTCATACCCTCGGGGGCACCCATCCTCAACCTCCTCCCCCAAAACCTCATCAACGGCAATACCTCCTCCCTCCCCCTCATCATCCCATCCCCTTCTCTCTCCCACTTCACATATTCCACATCCGCAAACGTACTCTTAATCTTATCCAAAGCCGTCCTTGTAATCTCCGTATTTCTATTCCCTCCCGCTACTAATACCGGTGTTTTAATTTTTCCCTTCTCTTTCTCCTTTCCTTCCGACTTTGAATTTGAAGGCGGGGAAAATGACGCGGGAAGTCGACCACCAATCGATATCACACCTCCCAACTCCTTATTCCCATCCCCATTGCCATCAAGAAATGAAGACTTTGCAAGTGTAGAAAGTGCAAGCATGCCTCCTTGTCCAAATCCGAAAAGAAATATATTTCGTGGTGGATAATTACATACTTTTATTAACGCTTCAATGATAGAGGTCAAGATTGTAATAGAAGGTGTCAAATCAGCATCGAGATCAAGTTGACCAGTCGTAGAATCGAATTCGAGATCTCGAGCCCAGTGGAAAGAAGGAGTATCGGATCCGGTTATGAGGGCGGGAATTGGGGTTGGTGCTTGTGGGATTAGGGAGGCGGTTTGGGGGAGGGAGAGATTTTTTGCTGAAGGTGCATTAGTATGATGTTTTATAGAAGCCGCACAGCACAGTCTACCAAGTGTATGATTATGGTACCAGACAGAGAAGTATTGGTATATTGTAATGGAAGAGGAAGATGAAGATGAAGTGAAGTGAATGAGGACTCACCAAGTTGGGTAAATCCATCTTTCGTATCTCCCAATCCATGAAGTAAGATCAATATATTAGTATTCTTCCCATCTTTCGAAGGCAAAATATCACATAATATATTTTTGGGTAGATCATCTACCGTCGGCAGACGTGGTATTGTCATTATGAATTTGTTTGTCTTCTTCATGCAATATGAAAGTTCTCAGCCTTGCTTGGTTTTCGACAAGGCTGATGAATTTCTCATTAGTTTTGATTTTATGCATATTTTTGCACAAAGTTGCATAATATTGAGCAAATTACGCGAATGACGAAAAGCCAAGCCTCTTTGTATGGAACAAGCATCTGCCACGATGCCAAGAGATGTTCGTCAAGAAGCCAATGAAGCTTGTTCAGCTGAACCCTTGCAGGGTCCGACCCTCTTTATCCATTTATAAGTACGTGGAGAAAAGGTAGAAGCTTGTTGAAGCTTCGATCTGTGTTGGTTTTTGGCTTATGCTATGTTATGTTATGTTATGCTATGCGACCTGTCCTACCTATGCTATGCTATGCGGATTTGATTGATGGACACGTTTTTGCATTATCGTGCAGAACCGCCAGGGATAGATATTTATGTACTCCGTAGGTACTTACTTATGCACTGTCTCGATGGCTACTTATCATTGGTAGGTTGCTTACACAGGAAACAGCTATAATGGTTTCTATGCTGTTCCCAATCATTTTCCGCGGTTACGGGGCCAGCTATACAGGGGTTGAAGAGTATTAACCCCTCATCCACCATCCACCCACCCCATTCACCCATCCGACGCATGCATAGAGGGGTGAAGGCAATAACCTTGATGGGAACGATGAATGAAAGGCCACGGTGGTCTAAGACCTCTTTTACCAACTCCAACCATCATTTGGAAAGAGTGGTTGTGGTGATGTATATTTTATGGTTCTTAGTGGATTTCGGGCATTCCGTGTCATGAACTGATTGAACGGCCCTGAAGATCTGGTCTCTTATTTTGGATTATCTGTGGAAGTTTGAGGGGGATATAGGTACTGACGGAGAGCTGGCTTTTGGAACTGAGAACTACCACAGAAAGTGTTCTCCTGAATCCTAAAGGCATCGTATGGCGTAATGAATACGATGTGATGCCATGACAGTTTCAAGATAAGTGATGATCTGATGATGATGCGTCTGAGAGCTTGGGTAGTACATTCATGCCTGTGTCCCTACATACCTGGTCCTGCCTTGCCCCTCAGTAGCTGTGTTGTACAATGTAACAGGGGAGCTTTACCCTTGTTTTTGACTTCTATATTCTATCTTGATGCTCTCGATATCATGAAATGGGTAGATAGACAGACGGACAGACAGGTAAATACTGTTTGATATGAATTATTCATGGTAACATAGTAACATAGCAACATAATGTAGAGGCCTGCTGATCCCATCTTATCCTCCAGACGTCATGACCTCGTTTGAGATAGATTTAGACTGAGTTAGCAACTAAATGAGCTTGTCGTCTAAAGGTTCCATTACATTCTCTCTAAGCCACGCAAGCCATGTAACTATAGAAGTGAACTTGACACTTGTCTATGAATGGTAGCTATTAGTGGTTGCGCAATGTGGGGTTTTGACATGATACCCTGAACATTTGCTTGCCATCAAACGAGACCAAAGCAAGATACGTTTCGATGACTAGGGAAGGACCATAGAAAACAAGGGGAAATGTACATGGCTTCAACCGGGATGCTCGCCCTAAAGCTGTCCAATGCGGTTAGAATCTATGCATTGTATATACTGTACGTACTCATCCATGGATAAGCGGGACAAACTGCTTCAACTGAATGGACGGTGAATCATGTACTACTCTATCTGGTTTAGAAATTTTGAGGACACAAAAGATTGTGTATGAATCAATATCAATCATTGGACAATTTGTAAATGTGGCTGGCAGTGAATGTGTGAAATACTCATGGCACAGCAAAAAGAGGGGTTCGTCGATGGGTAGCTCTATTTAAACCCCCTCGTACCTCCCATCCTCAAACCTTTCTCTTCCCATCAACAACTGCAATTCTACAACCGCAACGTTACATCACAATACTATACAATACCCTTTTACACTTTTTCAACTTTCACCAAATAAATCTATCAAAATGGTTTTCGGCTGGGGTATGTCATCTTCTTTTTCTCCTCCTTCGTATTATCTCTTAGAGTTTATACCCCACCTTGACGTTGACACTGTACTCACGAATTGAAGAGAGCTTGACTAACATGTTTTTATCACTACAGGCGAATCTCAAGATCACTACGATCAATACCAAAACCAAGACACTGCCAGTCTCGGCCATGAGGTTCTCGCTGGTGGTGCAGGTTTCGCTGCCATGAAGATGTTCGAGGACAGACAACGCAAAGAGGGTATGTTGTAAAGTTCACTCTCAACTTCACTCGATTCAAATATAGTTACTTATACAAACCGTTCACAGGAAAGCCAGTTTCTCACGCATTCGCTAAGGAGCTCATCGCTGGTTTCGCCGCTGGTGAAGTTGACAAGTTGGTTGAGACCAAGGGTGAGGACTGGGTCCGTGAGCACCGCTTGAGAGAGAAATCTCAAGAGCAAGCCGAGCATCTTTATGATCAACACTACGGTCAAGATGACCAATATGACCCGTATGTAACCGTTCATTCTTCTACCTTATCCTTTTCCAGATCTGGCTAACATGTCTCTTTACAGAAACCAACGTGATGCTCCAGACCACTTCAACAAATACGACAACAACTGGTAAATTCACAACTGTGCTGGCATGGAATCGATTGATATCTCGGAATTGTGAGGACAATGAGTTGATGGATTCTTTTGCCATTTGGTTGGGGCATTTCCCATGATGATTATGATGAACTTTATATATAGCAAGCAAGCATGGCTTTTTACGATGGATGATACCGCCTGGAAATCCCAGGTTCTCCACGGAACTGAGTCTTAATCGAAATAAAAAGATTTTTGACCAGAACAACGTTGTTTTTTGGGTATATGAATGCTTTGGTGATCTATGTGAAAGATATACTTTTACTGCTACAATGAATCTCATGATGTGATGTCGTCAACTCCTGTCTCAATTGTGCATACATTGCCAAGAATGCAGAATGCATGAAGCCTTGTAATTTATTAGGGACCGACCTCATCCCAAGAAAAGATAAGAAAAGAGATAAGAGCTTAAGCCTCCGATCACGGTGAAGCTGATCGCCAAGACTATCGGTGTGCGCAACGCCATAGTTCTCATAATGAAGAGGCTGTAAGACTTATTTACTTCGCACGGAGGTAGAGACAATCATACCTCGATTTATAATTTATAGTAATCACAACATCCCATCTTTGATTCAATTCAATCCTCTCGTTCGAACCTCTCCCGGTTGATTTCATGACTTTACTCCTGATCAATATTCACTCCTGACAAACGCCAATTGATCAATTGAAGTAGGTATTTAGGTATTCATTAACCATTCATTCATCACCATCCATCCATCTATTCTATCTACCAACACACCTCCTTCTCTACTCGGTCCTCGCACTAACATTGCATCCATCAATAGCTTCTACACCATCACACTTTACCTCCGCAATCGCTATCTAAATCGTCGATTCGATCTGCTACTTATTAGTGCCCTGCCTCCTCAAAATACCACGAAAACCCGATTCTCCTGGGATAGGCTACTATGGTCAAAAATAAGCCATCAACCACTCTCCTTCACAAAACAACAATTCCGAAGGAGACAACGACTACGGGAATGTCTTCTAACATGTCGAATGAGACGATGGCGCAAGAAGCGGATGCAAATGTATCCTATGACATGCCTTATCTTCACAAGATAGCAGCTGCTCAAGAGACAGCCGCTCAAGAGGCGCTTCTCCAGGAGATAGCTTGGAGAGAAGCGGATCGTACAAGAACATCTTATGCCATACCCCCTTTATCCGCCGCCCTTTACAAAATGAGAGAGAAGCAGGAGATGGGTTCGCAAGGTGCAGCTCTGCCAAGCATGTCCTCTAACAAATCTCAAAAACTACCGATTCGCAGCCTCAAAGCAATCGTCCCGGGAGAGCACGAAAATCAAAGAGTACAGAATCTAGAAACATATCAGGTTGAAGAGCAAAACGCACTTGAGCGAATGTCAAGTCTTGATAATCCTACCAACAGCAAAGGAGCCCAATCGAGTATGGAAGTCGACAATGCTCCTGACGAGACATTATATGAGACGATGAAGAAATCTAATGGACCTTCATCAATCAAAACCGCAAGCGGTATTGAGACTAGTCATGAAACTTTGTTTAGAGAATACTGTGAGTATCTAGAAAGAAACTCGTTGGCTGCAAAAGCTATAATAGCTAAGAGAGCAAAAATCGCAAAAGAAGAGACCAGGCTCAAGGGAGCTGGGGATTATGCAGAACCATTCATAAACTTTATGACAGAAAATCCAACGGTATGGCATGCTATCCAATACTGGGAGAACAAGTTGGAGAAAGCTGGGTTTTCCAAGGTAAGTTCACCTACTATTCCATCTTGACAACTCAGGACACTTGAGCCTAAAAAGCACAAATGCTAAAAATGTGCTGTTTCCAGCTCTCCCCACGGGAACCGTGGAATGATATACTTGAGCCCAATGGAAAATACTACTTGAATCGTAACGGTACATCCTTAATTGCATTCTCCGTTGGTGGCGCCTACAAATCTGGAAATGGAATCGCAATGGTCGCAGCACACTCAGATTCACTTACAGCTCGTCTCAAGCCCATCAGTACGAAAAACAACAAGGCTGGATACGTACAACTTGGAGTTGCTCCTTATGCTGGTGCTTTGAATGAAACATGGTGGGACAGAGATCTTGGTATTGGTGGTAGAGTTTTGGTCCGGGATGAATCTGGATCCATTTCCCAAAAGTTGGTAAAATTGGATTGGCCAATTGCACGTATCCCAACTCTTGCTCCTCATTTCGGTGTTGGAATGTTTGGTCAGAATAACAAAGAAACACAACTCGTGCCAATTATTGGACTCGATAATTCAGATTTATCCTCGTCCTCACCTGAGACATTTCAAACATCAGCCATATCGGGTGCGAAATCATCCTTCATCTCCACTCAACCACCAAAACTGGTCAATCTCATTGCCAAAGAATTGGGCATTGAAAACAAGGCAGCCATCATCAACTGGGAACTCGAACTCTTTGACACTCAACCAGCTCAACTCGGTGGTCTCGAGAAGGATTTGATCTTCTCAGGACGTATCGATGATAAAGTTTGTTCCTGGTCATCAATCGAAGCACTAATTTCCAGCTCTTCCTCCGAAAAATCCAAATCCTCGGGTATTATCTCCATGGTTGGTCTCTTCGACGATGAAGAAATTGGCTCTCTTCTACGCCAAGGTGCAAATAGCAATTTCCTTCCAGGAACAGTAGAACGTATTGTGGAAAGTTTCAATTATTCCACATATAGCCCTAATGTTCTAATGGAAACATACGCTAAATCTTTCCTCGTCTCGTTTGACGTTACACATGCTACGAACCCTAATTTCCTCGAAAAATACCTCGAGAATCATGCTCCTAGACTCAACGTGGGACTTACCGTTGGAGTTGATAGTAACGGGCATACAACTACGGATTCTGTCTCAACGGCTATTTTCCAGAGGTTAGCAGAGAAGTGTGGACAGAAACTTCAAACGTTTATGATTAGAAACGATTCTAGATCTGGAGGTACTGTAGGACCCATGTTGAGTTCTAAAATGGGAGTTAGAGCTATTGATGTGGGAATTCCACAATTGAGTATGCATAGTATTCGGGCGACAACCGGAAGCAAGGATCCAGGATTAGGAGTTAAGATGATTGAGGGTGTCTTTGATGGGTGGGAGGATGTGGATGCTCAATTTGCTGCTGGTAATGGATGGTAAAGGTGGTGAGAAAGATGTTTAGTGTTGGAAATCTATCCACTCAATGAAGGTAATAGCGTTGAATTTGGTGGATATGAGTAAATGGGTGATGATATAAGACACATACATTGAATCATGTGAGTGGGAGTAGGAGGGGATTATTTCGTTTTATTTTCATGTATGGATGGTATCGGGATGATGGAAGAGGTAGAATATATTGCTTTAGATAATTCGTAGATTAGATAAAACTGTTTTCTATCTACACAACTGTGTTACATATCCTTTCTATTCTGTATTTTGTAACCCTTTCTCGTATTGTGAATTAAATTAAATTGAGTTGAATTGTTTTTCTGAATAGTATGATTATGATATTATGTTCGTTGGTGGGATGGGTTAATAATTACTCGTAGTTAGTTATCTAGGTATTGAGAGTATAGATAGATAGATGTTGGAAGGTGGTTTATAGATTTTAATTATTGTATTGTTTTTTAGCGGGTTTCACTACAGTGTCTAGGAGATGACTGGTTATGTGTATATGAGAGGATGTGATGTGAGGTGGAGGTGAGGTGGAGGTGAGGTGGAGGTGAGGTGGAGGTGAGGTGGAGGTGAGTTGGTTTTGGGGGTGGGTGAATGGATCTTTGGGGAGTTTGAAGAGCTTTGGGGAGTTTGAAGAGCTTTGGGGAGTTTGAAGAGCTTTGAGATATAGTTATGGTGTTGAGCTGGGATGGGTTGGGTTGGGATGTAGGAGGTAGGGTTAGAAGGTAGGAGGTAAAACGTAAAACGTAAAACGTGCAGGATCAGGAGAGGATATAAAGATTATTTATTGATTTATTGCGAGGGGATGAAGGATAGAATGATGCCTGTGGTTTAAGTGGAGAGTATAAAGAGAAATAGAAGAATTCTCAGACGGATATCTCAAGCATCATTGCCAGTTGTGAGTCCTATAACAAGCAACTATTTAACTTAACTGGGAGTTTTGGAAGCAAGGCGGATTGTATAGCTTATCTTTAAGCTTTTCTGCAGTCTTTCTAGTTTCCGGGCTTATGGTCTATTATTAGTATTGTTAGAAATTGGAAGAGCAGAAGTGTTACGAAGTAATAGCCGACCTACCAAAAGCTAAATCACGTACACGAAACATGTAACTTGGATCCTTTGGAGCTTAGGATCCAAGGAGCCAGGAGCCTTGAAGCTTAGGATCCAAAAGGATCCAATTAAACATAAAGATCTATATAATCAAGATGGATTTCCTTTGTATAAAGTTTTGTATTCAAAATCAATCATTTAGTATACTCTATTATTAGTTACGAATAATATATCATTATCGTTGTTACTTAAGTCCCTGTTTGACGCTTAGTTATAAACCTATCTCGAGAATCTAGAGCACTTCCACGTGATCTAGACGGCTACCCTCGTAACAAGAAGGTCGGACGGACTAGTAGGATTAGAGAATGAAATTGATGATGCAATTTATATCTTTATACCTAGATTCATCAAAAATGGATATATTCTTATGGGTTTAGCAGGCGCATTTCGAGAGTAGCTGCTGCAGCAAAGGGCATGAATTGTCAAAATTTCTCAAATATGTTGGCGTTTCATTGGGCCATCATAAGCTGGTTTATGGATCATGCCTCTGCGATGCGTGGTTTGAGTCCTTGAGTTTTCAGTAGCTTATACAGAGCGTACTGCCTTACTATACCACGAGTTCCTGCCCGAGTAAGTCCATGGAGTGAAAAGAATTTACAGAAAAGTGACCATGCTCTGAATCCCGATCGCACAGGAAACAGCGGTAACATGCAAATGACTTTGTACAGGACTGTGTGGTAAGATACTTGATACTTTGTTTGTAAGACATTGCTTTTATGGCATTGTTGTTCTTGGTAATGAAAACCACATGGATTGAAACTCTCTCGAGATGAAAATGTCTTGCTTTTCATCTCTTTAGCTAATTACGCCTAGTATTCTGTATGTAGTATTCCTTGAGAGTTTGATTAAAGGTTGATAATATTAATTCTTAATGTTATCAGAGAGGTGTATATATACGAGTATATCTTTTTTATTATCATAATATAAGAAAGTAGTTTTTATTGTCATACAAAACTACAATTTCGCTTTAAAATATCATTGCTTCCTAATTATACCGTTTTAATGATCCTTCTCAGAGTTAAGTTCCTCGGGAGCCATGCGGATAAGAGGACGTGGAATGACACAAGAGTTTATTTTGGTCATTGAATTTCGTCCCTTGTACAGTGAAGTGTATCAAGGACAAGTGCTTTTATATATAAAAGGTGGATAAGGGTATAAAAAGTAAATAGAGGGAATATATGTGTACATAGTTGAGTGACAATGAGGGGCTATTATATTGGGCTCTATATTCACTCTATTTATGAGACATGATGCTATAATCAAGAATACAGTTGAATAAAAGAAGTCAGTTTTTGTAAGATATCTGCACCCCGTATCTATCAAGCATAATCTAATTGTCAAGATTTAGGCGGAATTCTCTGACGGATTGAGGAATTTTCTTGACGAAGTTACTAGAGCAATTATTCTCATACATTTGTTTGTATCTTTCAGACCCAGGAATCAAACTCGGAGGCGTTTTTTTCTTGTCATTTTTGGATCTTCAATATTCTACTGTCTAATTCAAATAAAATATCTCTGTTTCTGTCGACGGTAAGAATAACTTCATTTATTAGCTAATTACTATATCTCTTCTGAAAGAAGCGGCATAATACGACAGATTAATCGGCGTGGATGAGCCTAATAATAGTGGGTATCTCCTGTGAGAAAGTAGCTAGGCTATTGGCGCAGAGCAGTATTGTACATATGCAGTTTGGGATGCCGCATACCTCTTTTTGTTTAGAGTGGAAGCTGTTGGAGTAGACGTTTAAATAGATAATGGAATCATATTTTTGTATTACAGATGCGGGGCAGCTGAGTATCAAGGCTGTGATATGGAGAGCAGTGTATCGATCATGCAAATGATTCATAAAGTGAATGCGAGCTCTGGGAATGTTTATTTAATAAACTCTGACGTCTATAGCCCTAGATAAGGAAGAATTTAACTATCAACAGTGTTTCTTTTTTTATCTTTATTTGAGTATTTAAAAGCCGAGTCAGATATAATTGAAAAGATAATGTCTAGTAATCAAAAAAGGGAATAGTAAAAAAGACTGAAATATAAAGTTTTTATTGTGAAATAATGTTTATAAGTTTGTGAGATGAATTACACGGTTATTCTTCTCAATCTTATATCAATTAGAGATCTGATCATAAGTCGATGATTTTTATCTTTTTGTTATCACAATAGGAAATTATGATGAATTGTAGTTGCTGTTAATTTTCTTAAGAGACTAGCTCAGTTTATTATTCTTGTTGGTATGAGTTAGTGGCCTAGAGGACCTAATAATTAAGATAAGAGAAGTAAAATATTCTGAGCAAGAAAGTAACAATCTTTGAAGCTGAAACAGCTTGACGAGCAAATAGACAAATATCCTTGATGATAGATAGAAACATACGTATTGATTGCGGGGTTAGTAAAGTCCTCCTCAATTTCTGGCCATTATGATCGGGAGGACAAACAGTGAATACCGCGCCAAAAGTCCCCAAGCTGGCGGGCTAGGAAGTTGCAGCATAAAGAAAGTAAATGCTAAGTTTAAGTCACAACCTAATCATAGTTTAGCTATCAGTGGAGCAACGACTATATGTCCATACACTATTTTGATAATATTCACGTAGCACGATTTCACCACGTTTCTCCCTAGAGGAAATCTGCTGGCTCATTTTACCTGGGCAAAGAGACAAAATTCTCTCAATTTTTTTGCTTCAGAGATACACTTAAAACACAAGTTTGACATCTCTATTCTATACAAAATGATAAATAACAAGGGATGACATTGTTTTTATTCTAAAGTCTAGCAAATTCAAAGATATTAGAAAATTGACAATTCTAAAAGCGTTATTGATTTATCGGATTTGAATCACAGTGATAGACGACAATTACTGTCGCTGTCGTGATCAAGATATCACTGCTATTTCTTATATATATATATATATATATCAATTATTATATATAAAATTTTAAGGTTAACCGATGCTCATATATCGTCATTGGAAGTAGATCTTAGATTAATATCTGCTGAACATGTTGGCTCAGGGCAATATATAGAATCGCCGTAAATAGACCATGGCAAGTACTTGGTTGATTGCTGATATGCTGATATGACTTTTTGGTATATTTGAAAGATTTAAATATTGGCTCAGCTCAGATTTTGCAGCTAGTGGGTGCGATCAATGAAGTTGGTCATTAGGATGTGAATTATAATTATATAAACCCTTCGAAATTGACTCTGTAGCGTCATTCAATAGAAAATTTCTTATGAATTCTAACTACTTATATATAGGCTTTTGTAAATATAAATAACTATCAAAGAAATATATATTTATATTCGCGTGTATAGCTACTAGAAATATCTTTCAAGATGAATTACGTCTACCTCTAGCTATAAAATGTATGAGGTAGTACTATAACGCCTTGGCATTTCCATCATAAATATAAGAAATGTATGGCAGAGTATCTACCACTAGGCAATGCAGTCTAGTTATTCGTGCGTAAGAGCCACAGATATTTCTCGTGAATAAGATAGGATCATGGACATAACGAGAGGAGTCGACTTGAACGCTAAATGCTCAAACTCGTGTGTAAAGATAGGATTAAAAATAAAGCTGTAGGTTACTTTCACTGAAGTTTTATAGCAATATCGTGTTTTGTTAGGCATGTTGTGTTTTCTGTAACCTAATCCCCCTCAATTTCAGGTTATAATACAACCACAACGATCATCCAAGCGTGGTTCCCCTGGTGACGGGGGTATATAATGCTTAATTTAGTGAGTTGCGACTGGCTGAGATGAATGGCTGAGCTCTCGAGAACGGGAGTAAAATAATTACTTCTATAAGTTTAACCAAAAATAACCTTTCAATCATTTCTCATTCATATACCAACAGATTTTCGATGGCTATAATGCCCCAGTTCTGCGTTTCTGTCTAGCATCTTTTACCGAAGAATTGTTGATGCCATGATGCGAGCTGATCTATTGATGTATTAAGTGGTTGACAGAAGCACTTGGACGTAAATTATAACCGTGTTGTTACTACGGAACTGGACTAGGGACTCCGACAATCTGATTCGAGCTACCACTTATTAACTCCAATACAGATTAATAACGAAAGATGAAAGTGCACCTAGAAATTCCAGAGGGTTGCATCTGAAATATGAATATTTTTTTG